CACTAACGGCATGCTCGTTAATAAAGGTAGGTATCAACGGGTTGGGAGCAAATTCATCAACCTCTCTTGCATCTATCATAATATTCGGCTAATAGTACTTGATATTTGAAAAAAGAATGTGGTTAAAAATATTTTAAGAACTAAATTATTGATTCAAAGAACATTGTAAAAATCAAGCCATAATTAGTGGACAATAGTTTTCCATCTACAACAACCTGACAGCTCATGGAAAACATAATACAATTTCTATTATATAATTAATTATAGATTTCAAAATTAAACATTAATTCTCAATTTATTTCTTTCCTTGATAGTTGTTTATACTTATGTATAGCTTCTTATCTTAGAATGCAACAACAACAACAACATCAAGCCTTTGTCCCACTACATGTGGTCGGCTATATGAATCCTTTTCGCCATTTTGTCCTGTTAAAAGTCAAATTCTAAGTTAAATCTAATAAAGAAAGATCATTTCTAATATTTTCTAACCAAGCCTTCTTAGGTCTACCTCTAGCTTTCTTAACATATTTCAAATCTTATACCTCAACTTTCCTAACAGGGTCATCGGAAGGCCTCCGTTTAATGTGGCCAAACCATCTAAAACGACTCTCTCTAATCTTATCTTCCACTAGAGCTACTCCAACCTTTTCACGTATATGCTCATTTCGTATCCTATCTTTAAGGGTAAAGCCACTCATCCACCTAAGCATCCACATCTCTGCAACACTTAACTTAGTATTATGCCTTCTCTTTTAATGGCCAGCATTCGACACCATAAAGCATTGCAGGTCTCACCACCATCTTATAGAATTTTACCTTAAGTTTGAAGGAGACTTTTCTATAGCACAATAAGCCCGAAGCATTCCTCCACTTCAATCATCCAACTTGAATTCTGCTGATAATATCCACATCTATTTCACCATCACTCTGAATAATAGATCCAAGATATCTAAAATGTACTCTTATTTATGACTTGATCGCCCAAAGTCACAATCCTCTCACTAGGTCTATTGCTACTAAAATTACACTACATATATTTAGTTTTAGATCTACTCAAGCGAAAACCTTTAGACTCTAAGGTTGACCTCCATAATTCAAGTTTACCTTCAACTCCCTCTCTAGTCTTATCGACAAGAATAACATCATCAGCAAAAAGCATATACCAGGGTACATTCTCTTGCAAATATCTAGTGAGAACATCCATGACTAAAGAAAAAAGATATGGACTTAAGGCTGACCCTTGATGTAATCCAACCGAAATAGGAAAATACTTGGTCAAACCACCTTGTGTTTGAACACAAGTAATTGCTCCTGCATACATATCTTTAATGATTTGAATAAAAGCGTTATTAACTCCTTTCTTTTCAAGAATTCTCCATAGGACTTCTCTTGGAACTTTATCATTTGCTTTCTCCAAATCAATAAATATCATATGTAGATCCTCCTTATTATCTCTATATTTCTCCATTAAGCCTCTTAATAAATGTATGGCTTCCATAGTAAACATACCCGACATGAATTCAAATTGATTTTGAGAAACATTAGTATCACACCGCAACCTACGCTCCAAAACTATCTCCCATAATTTTAAAGAATGACAAATTAACTTAATTCCTCTATAATTCGCGCACTCATGTGCATCACCTTTATTCTTAAAAATAGGAATCAACATACTCAATCTCCACTGATCTGACATCTTTTTAGTCTTCAAAACAGTATTAAAAAGTTTAGTAAGCCAAGAAATTCCTTCATCTCCTAAGCATTTCCACATCTCTTTTGGAATATCATCAAGTCCAACAGCTTTTCCAGTTTCCACACATCATTTTCTTTAAAGCCTCTCTAACTACAATTTTACTAATACGCCGATAAAAACAAAAATCTTTATTTTCATTTAGGGTACTAAAGTCACTAAAGTAAATCGTATTTTCACAATTTTCATCAAAAAGTTTAGCAAAATATCTTATCCATCTTTGTTGAATATCATCTTCTAAGAAAAATACTTTTTGATCTTCATCCTTAATACACTTCACTTGAAATAAATCCTTAATACACTTCATTTGAGCTTCTTATCTTAAAATAAATAAATAATGGTGGGGGCAAGAAATATAGGGGAGCCTATACTCCTCGCCCGCACAAGTGATTATTCCTCTACTGACGACCCACTAAATCACGAAAGATGCGACTAAGATGAGGAAGAACAAACTCTTACATTTCAAATTAAACTAAAAAAAGAAATTTTAAAAAAACATTACAAACGACGACGGATTACAACTTTTGACTCGAAATCAAAGACACCCTAAAGATGCTTTACTTAGAGACGAAAGATATAGATGAAGTGGCACTTGCGGAGAGACGAAAGAGGTTAGAAGCCGAGACGAAAGGTTGGAAAGAGCTTGCAAGATTTCCGGAGGGGATGAGAAAGAAGACGGACAAAGCTCGCAAACTTTTCCAATGAAACCCGCAGGTTTACATTTCCAAAAATCACATATCATTCAACTTTTTTAAAACATTACAAATCCCCCATATATATAGGTATGAAAGGGAATATCAAAAGACATATAACATTAATTTGCACAAGAACCTAAGCACCATGAGCACGGAAAACAGCCCAAGCCCAGGAACCGAAGCAGCAGCCGCGGGAGACAAGGAGGCCGCACGGAACCAAGGAGCCACAGCTGCGGGAATCATCCCAGGCGCGGAAAACCAGCAGCCGGCCGGAATCCCAATGGGCAAAGGCACAAAAAACAAAACCCATGTTGGAATCCAAAGAGCCACCGAATGGGAAAATGAAACATCTTGGAATTCCAAAAGCCGCTTTGGAATTCCAAGAGACTAACATAATTAAAAACATATAATAATAAAAACTATAACATTTAATAAAATATAAATATGAACTAAAATGTTAGCTGATAATGAGCTAACCCTTAGTTCAATAAATGAACTAAAGACCAGCTCATAAATGAGCTAAAATTTCAGCTCAATTTGATTGAGCTTGTAAACTCGGGGGAAACCAAAATTGATTTATTTTGGACATGAGTCGACCCCCCCCTGTCTACATCAGATTCTCCCCTTCTTGAAGAACTCATCTCCCAATGAGTTAGCTTTGGTTTCTCTTGAGGAGGTGCATACTGTTCATCCAGCTCTTTGAGTTTCTCAACAAATTTCTTCAAAATTTCTTCCTTTTCCTTCTCGAATTGCCTTTGCAGAAATCTCTTCCACTTTTTGAATTTTTGATCACATAGAAACATGTGATACTGAAGCTTGTACAGTCGATCTTGAAGCGGATCCGTTGAATCACCATCTGTAGGAATCCATCTGTCCAACGGAAGTGGGACATCAGGATTGTCATGATTGATCTCCTCCATGAATGAAGCCATTTTTTGTTATTTTCCATTTTTTAAATTGACTCAAAAAAGACTCAAAAAACATAACCTAAACTTAGATTCACAATAAGACTCACGAGAATCACAACAACTGTTATGATTCACTAAGATTTTTCTTGACAAACAAAACTTGACAAACTAAAACAAAACTTGACAGACTCAGACTTAACAGCTCAATTTGAAACCAAACCCTAGGACTTCCTAACTTGTTATGATACCAAATTAGTGGGGGCAAGAAATATAGGGGAGCCTATACCCCTCGCCCGCACGAATGATAGTACTGAACGACGACCCACTAAATCACGAAAGATGCGACTAAGATGAGGAAGAACAAACTCTTACATTTCAAATTAAACTAAAAAGAAGAAATTTTTAAAAAACATTACAAATGACGACGGATTATAACTTTTGACTCAAAATCAAAGACAACCTAAAGATGCTTTACTTATAGATGAAAGATACAGATGGAGTGGCACTTGCGGAGAGACGAACTCCTTATTCTCTCTATATTTCTCCATTAAGCCTCTTAATAAATGTATGGCTTCCATAGTAGACATACCCGGCATGAATTCAAATTGATTTTGAGAAACATTAGTATCACACCGCAACCTACGCTCCAAAACTCGTTCCAATAGTTTTAAAGTATGACACATTAACTTAATTCATCTATAATTCGCGCACTCCTATACATCACCTTTATTCTTAAAAATAGGAATCAACATACTCAATTTCCACTGATCTGACATCTTTTTAGTCTTCAAAACAGTATTAACAAGTTTAGTAAGCCAAGAAATTCCTTCATCTCCTAAGCATTTCCACATCTCTTTTAGAATATCATTAAGTCCAACAGCTTTTCCACACATCATTTTCTTTAAAGCCTCTCTAACTTCGGTTTTACTAATACGCGGATAAAAACAAAAATCTTTATTTTTATTTAGGGTGCTAAAGTCACTAAAATAAATCGTATTTTCACTATTTTCATCAAAAAGTTTAGCAAAATATCTTATCCATCTTTGTTGAATATCATCTTCTAAGAAAAGTACTTTTTGATCTTCATCCTTAATACACTTCACTTGAGCTTCTTATCTTAGAATAAAGAAATAAAATTTAAACGCACAATCTCCCACTTTCTGTTCCCCCCTCTTCTCATTCTAATCTTACAAAAAAGCCTAGAACTCAAAGCCCTACATCATTATAGGAATGAAAATGGGAAGGACCCACATCATGTAATATCAAATCTCAATGAGCTATAGAGTGAAATAGAGAGTTTGTTGAGCAACAGATAATGAATCACAAAAATTTGAGAATAATAACCAACCACAGAATATGTGGTCAAATTGACCCGAAGTAAGATCCATTATTACCAAAACAATTGATAGATTAACTAACAAAAAGAATGATGAATTTGTCAAAGGAATACAGACAACTTATGCTAGAAGTATTATTAATAAAGGAATGACAAGGATTGCCAATCAAGTATCAGATTCTTAAAAGGTCTTCACCAACGAGTTAAGGATGCCATTGCATAAATCAAGATTGGAGAAAACAATGCTCATAGCTTCTAAAACACTAGTGTTTTTATCATTGAACTAATGATAATTGTTTCTAAGAATGTACCTGACAAAGTCTCCTTTCAAAGCAGAAGTTCCAGAGTACTGGATGCTGATGTCATCTCCATGATTAGCCCACACTAGTGAATCAACATGAAGAAAAGAAAAAAAATATAGATAAAGAAAATAGCTGACATCTAATGACAAAGTTCGAACAACTGAATTAATCAGTTCTAATTAAACAAATTCAACAAGAAAAAAATACTTACTTTTCTTAAAGCATGTATCAATAACAGAATAAGCACTGAGAGCATCAGCATCACCAAATATTCCAATTTGTTTAAGCTGGCTTTCTAACATCTTCCCACCAATCATGCTCTAGAGATCACAAATAACAATTTTTCTTAGCAATAATATATCAACATGGCTTAACAATAATATATCAGCACGGTGAATTCTTCAACAAATAGGAGCAATATCTAGTTCCAATAAGTATAAAAGCATGATTTTAGCCATTATAACAACATTCTAATAACTAAATAAAGAACATTGATTGTCAATGACACACTCAGTTCGTAAAAAACACATGGAAGAATCTCAAGAGTATACACCCATGATCCATTGAAAGATCTATGCTGCAACTCATTATAGCTATCTCCGCCATATTATCCCTAGCTCACAAAGAGACCATCAATCAAAACCATAGGGTCATTGAGAATGTGTCAAACAACCATAGAAAACAAAAGATACTCTCATTTTGGCTGCATCGACCAATAAAACAAACCACTTTTCACGACATATCTATCCTCCACTTAGGCCAGCTTCTTTTTTCCTCTTTCAACCATAGATCTTAACGTTTGATCATCTCCTGCCACTCCATTTCTAATACTATCTACACAGCTTTGCAGCCAACAGATTTTCTTTTCATTTGGATAACGCATTTAAAAATAAGCCTCTATCTTATTTCAATCCCTCTTTCTCAATCGTCAGCCTTTAGAAATCACCATGCCAAGCTCTCTCCACCATCAGTCCTGCAAATTGGTTCAGACCAATCTAAATTTCCCTGAACTAGGAGTGAGCGTATTTTTTCTAATAAAGGAAATGAAATTTTATTACCATTACAACAACAACATCAAACCTTAATCCCACTATATGGGAATGAAATTTTACTACCAATCAATGAAAATGTTATGGGACCACCCACTCATAAAAAACTGCCAACATAAAAAAACAAAAAAATAGAATATACTCGATCATGTTTAACTCAAAAGTAGAGCGAGAAATATCCACCCAAGAGGAGAGAAGCAAACTCATATTTAGACATCTACTTGAGTCCAGCATGCCAAAATCATCAGTATAGTTATCACGTCTAGCTTATAATTTAACAAACCTGGGAGGATGAAGAAAGATATTTTCCAATTTGTGACTCTAAGAGATAACACAAGCCGAAACTTCTTATCCACTAAACGTAGTAAACTTCTATTATAATCTTCCAACAAGTAGCATTGGGGAACATAGTTGTTAACTTCAAAGGGAGAAGAGAAAGGAGTAATTGAAGGCCCCTCAATGAGCTGATATATTGCTTTCCCTGTTTCCCATACATGACTCTTGATGTATCAGCCTAGAGAGGAAGGAACAGGGAGGATATTGATATCAAATAAATCAACAGTAGTAAGAGAATGTGCTAACTCATGAAGAATTTGGATAAGTATCCAAGCATGAGAACATTCTGGGGGGTGGGCAAGGCTGTGGGAGCATCTCTTAATAAGTAGGTAGGGCCATTTGATCATTACTATTTATACTAGCCACAAACAATATGAGTAAAACACTCAAATTCCATTGTTTTCCAGTAGCCAAATGAAAAGGCGTCTAAACCTAACTCCCGAACCAATAGGGCAAAAATGTCTGTCTCAACAAGAACATAACACGGGCCACAAACGGATGTGAGACTCAAGCAATAGTGTAGATTGATTAATATAGTAGACACAAAGATGAATGAAAAAAATCAAATTGGATTAATAGATAGCTTCTTAGAAGCATCAACCTATGGAGTCTACTTCAGCATACACATTAATGGCTCATTGAAATAACATGAATGCCAAGTGAAAAATCTAGAATAATTTGCCAAAAATTATTTGAAAAGTATGTGACAACTGTTAACCCCTGTGCGTATCTCGTGATTGATTGGAGAAAGAAAGATGAGAATGAATGATGTGATACGTTCAAGAATTGCACATGAATTTCATTAAGAATCACAAAGTTTACCAACGTAAGATTAAGCTTTTGTAAGTTAAGATTCAAGCAATTTTCAGTTAACGAAATGTTATGATAAGCGGTTACAACTAGTGTTTAGGCACAATTAATGATGGATCTCAAAAGTTACACAATAAAGCAAATGCGGAAAATAATAGAATCCCACGGCTAATGTTTAGAAAGTTCACAACGAGTACCTTGCTCACTCACACTCAAGTCGGGTTTAGCGGGAGAAGGCCTTTAGCAAACTCAACGATGCCACGAAGATGGTGGTCACACAAATGACCTTTAGCCACGGAGAGGTTGACGGTGACGAGGAGGGCGTGAATGCTTGACTTTCGAGACTCCAATTAGATTTTGAAAATCGTCGGTCGAAGATTCTTGCAAGGATCGGGACGACTCTCTCCAAATATTCTTCCACGGTGGTTTCGCCTTCAAATCCTACGTCGAAGCACGGAGATCGTAGGATGTTAATGCTTCCGTCGGCGTTGAAGACTAATCCCCACTCAAACTCCGGATCCGCCATTCAACATTGAGGTGACGGTTGAAGGACGACGTATTCTCCCCTTGATTCCAAGTACTACGAACAACAAAAATCAACCGAGAAGGGAAGAGGAAGGAACGGCCAAGGTGGGGAGAGGGGGAGCGGCGGGATTGGGAAGAGAAACACTAGGTTAGATGAGAGGGAGAGGGGATTTACTTAATTCTGAAATTAACTTCAGATTTAAGTAAATTTGGAGGGAATTTCTATTTGAAATCAATTAGGTTTCAAATATAAAGAGGCATTAAAGGGATAATCAATGGTGAAACTCCTATAGGGTCGGCAGCATGATGAGGAGGAGAAGAGGAAAATTAGGGAGGGGATATGTTCTTTCCAATTGGATCGATGCCACCTAGGATGAAAATTAATAAATTCACATGTCATGGGATTTGGATTGAATCAATAATGAAACTTTCTATTAGACCGGTTCACTGGACCGGTCCAGCCGGTCCAAGCGGGATTGGTTCACAGGAAAAATCGCAAAACAGGCGGAGATTCCGCCAGAACGAGCGGCCCGACAGCTCATATAGGGCGTTTTAGGAAGGATTTTTGGGGGGTTTCAGAGAGAAATTTGAATGTAGGGACTGTTTAGGGAATTCATTTTGATTTGTATGCATTAAATAGATGTTTTTCCTAGGGTTTGGGCATCTTGAATTTGGCTGAAATTTGAGATCTCTTAGATTTAGGTTTTCTTTGGGCTCTAGCGGCGTCTAGAGATTTGGGAGAGATCGATCCTCCTCTCGAATTGAGGATCAATTGTATCTTTGTTGTTTTCTTCTTCTACTAGTAAAATACAAGTTTTTCCTACGAATTTCTCTCAGTTTTTCCGCTGTTTTTACTGTTTTCCTGCTCCGGACAGTAGTATTTCGTAGAGTTTTGCTGTAAAGGTGAATAGGAAATACTTGATTTCAAGTGTTTCCTATCACTTTCCTTTTTAGAGAAATCAAAAATGGAAAGTTTTGAATTTCAAAATTCTGAAATTCAAAACTTGTAACTCCTTTCTTTAATGCTAGGCAACAATCAAGGGGTCATTATGATGATTGAATTCATCATCATAGCTTGGGCAAAAGGAGACCGGCAGGTTGACACCACAGGAGGTGGGCTGGACAAAAGGTGGCCGGCGGGATCTGGGTGGGCCGGGGGTTGATTTGAGTTGGTGGCCGAACGGGAGGGAGGGGAGATCGACGGTCTGGGAGGAATTGGGAGGGGTCGGCTGCAGAAAATGGGAGAAGGGGAAGGCCGGGTTCGGTGAGGGTTGGGTAGGGAGGAAGGCAACTAACGATCCAATACAACGAAAACCAAGAGCTCACCGTGGTGGGCTGTTGGGAATTGCGGGTGGAGCCTCTCCTAGGTCTCCTCTCTCTTTTCTCTCAAGCTCTCAAGCAAGAAGACAAAAAAAAATTCAAAAATTTCATTAATCATTCATCAATCATAATACAACATGAAATGACCTATATATAGGTCCCAACACAAAAGAAAATACAATGACTCTATTGCCCTCGGGGCTACAATCATGACTCGGCTCATACTAAGGGTACAATAGGAAATTCTAAGAAATAAAAGAAAATGCATTAAAGAAATACATAAATAACTAGAAATATAAACTCTGAATCATGGTCGTCGATATGCGTTGTCTCCGGCGATACACATGTCTGAACCTTTGGTCGATGTCCACATCAATGAAGGATAACTAATGTGATTCCACATGAATCATATTCAAAATGCCTTGACTGCAATCAAAGTCATTCGAACATAGCTCATTCACCAAGCGGATTGCGCTAACGCTTTCAAAACATTGAAATCATCAAAGAAAGCATCACTCGCGATCAATTCAATCTCTGCCAAAATGTCGATCAATGGTTGTGACATTGAACATGAGTCATTTAAAGGTCACCCACTAATGTTATAAAAAAAAAAGAAATTAAAGGAATAAACTGAAAACAAAATAAAAATGAGAAAATTAGAAAAATATATTAACATTGAACTAAAAACACAAACACAACATCTCGGCCACAAAAAATTTATTTGAACACATAAAACTATGAGGCAAACGAGAACTTCAATGGTGAAATGAATAAGCTAATCCACCTATCTATAGCGAGGAATATTGATGGCCTCTGAGTACTAAACCAAAGCTGATTCATAAAAGCATGACATAGATCTCTTATGCATTTTAGTCAAGTCTTCCTACGTTAACACATCAAATTTTATATCATTTATATCCCATGAGATATACTTGCTCCATTACACGAAACTGACAATAATTATTTAATTAAACTCTCTTAAGTGGCAGTCTAGAACGAAATAGATAATTTAATAATAGTCCTAATCTAGACTGAATTGTAAAGCCAATTTGAACAGTTTAACTCGCATAGTTGAATTTTCCCTATCCTCTATGAGTACATATTTTCCTTACATTTCCAGGATTGTAAGCCCTAAAGCATCTAGATCGATTAAGCAAAAATATCTATCTAAGAATCTTTGTTTCTTTCCTTGATTTGAGATTAAAAGATTCATCTGAACGATGCAATTCATGATTGTTGACTAAGCGCCTCAAGGTTAGATTGAGTAGAATACCTTCACAGATAAGTGATTCTCAAGTTAATGACCTTGGATGAGATATGATGCGAACATCCAACGGTGGACGTTACTCAATGGAAGAGACGAAGATTAACGACCGATATCACTCCTTTTTTTTATCTTAGTTTATTAATTGTATTTTGATTTAATTTTGCATTTCTTGTTTTTACCCTTATTTAAGAGTCTTGTCTTATGTAAGCCTAAGGCACAAAGTTGTCTTTTCAATTTCTTTTGTTTTGAGGCCTATATATATAGAGGTCTTTGCTCTTATAGAGATCAATGATGAATTATTAATAAAAAAAGGTTTGCACTTGTGTTCTTTGGAGAGAACTTGGGTGAGATTTCTATGGGAGGGAATCAGAGCTTCCACCAGCCGCAGGATGGGTCTGGGCTCATGGCTTGAAGTCCCTTGGAGAAGGGCAACATATTACCCATCAGCTGCATGATATGTCCGGACTCACGGTTGTATCTTTCTTTCTCTAAATCTTTTTCTCCTCCTCCCTTAACCGCCGTCCAAAATTCCCCACTTGCCACCGACCGATTCTCCCACAAACCCCTCAAAAGCCACAAGCCTCCTCCACTTTATTCATATCAACTGCTGACCATAAACCCCTCCACCTTCATAGCCGGCCGACCACCTCACCCCTAGCCTCTTCGCTCCTTCATTCCCCTTCGTTTTCCTAAATTAGGTTGAAAATAATTTGTAAAGAATTTTGAATTCAAATTCAATTAGTTTGGAATTCAAAACCTTTCCTAAATGACAAGATCTATTTTTGATAAGTTCTTCAAATCAAATTCCAATCCATTTGGAATTGTATTTGATTAAATGTCTTGCTAATTTACATGTAAGTGCTTGCCTAGTCGTAGTTAACAACTAAGATTTCCGAGAGCTTAAATTGGGAACAATCTTTAATTTGCAAATTAACATACTTGGATAATCTTTTGTTAAAATTCTAAATGCAAGTCCTGGATTAACTTCATATTACATCACTCTCCATAAACTCCTAAGCTCCTATTAATGTCGCCAGCCCCTCCCCCCTTAGTTATTTAATTCCTTAATTGGATATCCAATTATGGGATTTAATTAACCACCCCATTTTTCTCGTTTAATTTTAATTTCAATTTTCAAATTTTCCCCTCACCCCCTCCGTTCTACATCAAGATATCAATGAAATTCTAATTAGGTTATGTCTATCTTTCTCCTAATTTCTCATGTAAACTTATTACCTCATTTAAGCTTATTCATTTCTTTGATGATATAATTATCATTTCGTAGGATTTTCTATGTGGATAGGTTGTCCTCCCCTTGGATACAGTGATTCAACATTTATCTCATGGCCTAACTCTCACCTTGAAGCATGATGTTGTCCTCCTAAATTATGATTTTTTTTAGTGATAATCCTTTGAAAAAACCGATTGAATAAATTTCGAGCTCCAATTTAATTCTTCTTATTGAGAGTATTCTTCAGTATCGGCCATAATGTAATTAACCTTAAGGACAAAATTCCAATGGGAGAATGAGAGATTTTTTAGAGAAATGCTCCAACTAAACCTAAATAAACAGACAAGAAGAACAACAATAAGCCTTTATCCCACTATGTGAGGACTAAATTAAAAAATAGGATAGATGAAAATATTCAAATTTCAGTCTCTTTGTCTAATGAACCGAACTTAGGTTCACAATTGTTTCTCCAATAGCATCTACACTGTCAAGTGATTCCACTCTGGATACTTCTCCAACCGCAGTCACGATCGCTCTACAACAATCTTTGCATTGTCCAGCTCCAAGGCAGAGCACTTCACGGGAAGCAAAAGATCCTGAACCAAGCGATTCCTTGCCTTCAGCAAGACTGGCTCCAGTAGTTCTCCAAAAGAAGAAGAGCAGCTTACACCTTGCCATCAAAGAAAGACTTTCATGTTGCTCATGGTTCTTAAAGGGAACCTGTTAACCAATCAACCAGAAAAGCCTGACATGAATGTCAGTTTAGTTGTCCACCTTCTTCAACTTTATGGATCTTAAATGTGTACTAAGGCGGATTGGATAAAACTCGAACTCCTAGCACCTATTTTTATCTCTAGTCATTTCTGAACTAGCGAAAAATGCAATACAAAATGTGCCTGTTGCAATAGCTACAAGCCTAGTTTTTATTAACCTCTTCATCACCCTTACTTTGCAGTTGATCAAATTCCAAACTCACCTATTAGGAGAACACTATATACGAATAACATGTAATCATACCTTTACTGCAATATCAAATGCATGAACATCCATCTAACATATAAAGACAAAAATTTATTACTGTAACAACAGTACTTTACCTGATCAATGCTCCTTATTTGTCCAAATACTTAAATGAGTGAAGAAAAGTTACATCAATGTGAGCAATTAGGAGAAAATAAAATAATATGTGCATTAATTTAACACAAAAGCACGCAATAATACCTGTGTAACATTTGTCCGGTCCAAACAATCAATGCAATTTGTTCTTACAACACCAGATTGCTCCTGGACCTTCTCACCGTCAACATCTAAGAGAAAGTAGCTGCATTGTTGCATAATGAAGTAAAGACATAGTTATTGCCTACAAGTATAACCGATAGTAAGAAAAACGGATCTATGCAGAATCATGAGCAAACAAAATCAAATTTTCAAAATTTGGCCAGTTAAAATGGGAATTCACACAACAAAAAACTGCACCATTATACATTTATCATGTTAAACATGCAGGTCGATTTGCTCGAACACAAGTTGAGTGCCAGTACAATTACGTAAAATATCATATTTATTGTGCTTCACAATTGATCACTCCCACATTAGCCTAATACACCGTACATATCTTGTCACCTGTACTTTTGTGTGTGTGCAGCCTATTTATTTAATTGTGCATAGGGGTTAATTATGAAGAATTTTGAAGGAAATTCTAATGTTTTCCATTGCAGAGTACAAGCCCTACTGGTGTGCCACATATATTAAGATTTATATGGTTCACCTTATGAATTAGATTAGGGCCCCAGCCAACTCCACCACTCACATGCAAAAGATCAGGCAATGACCATGTATTTTGATGGTATTTATGCCAAATTCTTTGTTTTTTGTAGAATTTAGTGTCCTGGAATGATTTTGTATCAACTGAAAAATAGGGGGTCACGCACTTCAAGACAATCCTAAAAAGGTTGGGGAATTAAACATGGTTCCTAAAATTAGCTAAATTTTTATGAAACTTCAAAAAATCTTTTTACATTTTTCTTTGAATTTTCCTTTTTCTTCTTGTTTCCTAATATTTCTTTTTTTATATATTTATGAAGCGGGGGTTTTAAAATATTTTTAACCAATAATCTTTTTAAGTTTTAGGAATAATTCTTAATTTTTTTGCATTTTTGAAATTTGTGCACAGAAAATACCATATGACTGCTCTGTACTTCTTAGTCAAGCTCACATGAGATAACAAAGAGTCATTCGTGAGCAATGCGAACAAATATTTGAATAAGAAGACAGGTGTGCACATCTTTCAAAGAGGGCAGGTTTTTAAATTATGTTTGCATCTAGCAAATGAATCGATCCGGGCTGAGTCGACATGAAAATATACGTAAACTGGAGAACCATTTAGCCTTTCTTACTTCACGTTTCCTGGAAAGTTAATGACAATTTGATTTAGGAAAATTAAAGGGCTTCTGAACATTCCTTTATGTATTTATTGTTTTCAAAGACCTCTTTCAGATAGTTTGGAATCCCAAGTGCAAAATCGAATACCATCCATGTTGCTCATAGCTAGGGGTGTCAACCTTTGACACTGACACGACCAGAAACCCGACCTGGACCTGACCTTGAAAAATCCGGATTTGGGTCAACCCGTTTGCAAAACGGGCCGGTTCCGGGTTCGGATTTCTGACCCGTTTGAAAAGCGGATCGGGTTCAGGTTGACCCAACAACCTGCAGGTCAACCCGATTTGACACGTTTCGTCATCCCGCACATAAGGTCGTGTCCGCGCTACTGTCAGGTCGCGTTCGCGTCAGTTCATGACATCGCCTCCGCGTGAGGTGGAGTCTGCCATGCATGTCACAGGCCGCATCCGCGTCACAAGCCGTCGTTGCCCGTCGGTCCAGGAATCCCGCATCCAGCCCGCACAACCGCGCTTCAGTTGCCGTTGTCGCACTCGCTGCTCCGCACTCGGCGGACCCACACCGCTCCACCTCCGCAGCCTCGACCCTCGATCACTCAACGGAAGACGACTCCGCGGACCCGCTCTGCTCCGCAGGAACAGGCACGCAGCCTTCGGCCCTCCGATTCGCTCGACTCCGTAGATGTTCGTGGGTCAGGTCGTGTCAACCCGGTAACCAGCACGAGTTGGGTCTGGGTTGACAAACCTGGCCCATTTGCAAAACCAAGTTGGGTTAGTGTCAACCCGTTTACAGCCGGGTCAAGTCGAGTTCGACCTAAACACGACCCTTTGACACGAATTGATACCCTTACTCATAGTATTAGTTAGATAATTTATTGGCGCAGGATCATTCCAACTTCATTCTAGAATGATATGTTTGATTTTTATTAATACTAGTATTGACAGCATTATTAATTATCATACTTATTTCTAGTACTAAGTGATACACTATGATGCACCGACACGGACATGGCGACATGGACACGACACGACACGGACACGGGACACAACAATTTTTAAAAATATAGGACACGGGTGCGACGTGGACACGGCATAATAATTTTTTAATATAATATATAGAAATTAAGGTGACATTATAGTAAAAATGACAAGCAATAATAAATCAATTTCATGATAACTTATTTAGCTTATAACATAAAGATATTTAGTACAAAATGTCTAATACAACCACAAAAATATAAGCAAAAAATCATTTAGAACAACATAAAGGTCCAACTACTCAATAGAGGGAATGTTAGAAATAGATTCAGATGTTGGTCTTTGGCCTTCAATATCATCATCATTGAATATCATTGCTTCCAACTCTAGTTCATCTAGTGAAAGATTTGCAACCTCCAATAATCCCATATCATCAGGGCACTCGAACCCATCTCCAGCAACATCCCACATCTCGGATGGAGGTGATTGGGGCTGTTTGGCTTACTCTTTTGAACTATATATATATATATATATGGGTTGTTTAGGAGTAGAAAAGAGAGATTATGGAGTAATTTTTGGAATCTAAAAACCTGAGGGTTTTTCCTTGGATAGCTTGGGAGCTTTATCCACTTCTTCTTCTCCTATCTAAGACTTCGTCCCGAGCTTCTTATCTACTTCTTCTCTCCGCAAGTGACCACCCAATTTGTATATTTCTTCTCGATGAGTGAAAAGTTTTTTAGGTGCTTTATGTTTGTCATGAGAGTTGTATGGTGTTGAAATGTTTTATTTTTAAGCTTCTTTAGGTGTCATATGTATTTTCTTAATATTTTGAAAGGAAGATGCTTAGTTTATATTCAATATTAGTGTTCCTTTAATTTTGATTACATCAATTTTGGTATCACAGATTAGGGTTTTGTTGGGTCTTCTTTTCTTTTTTTAGTCTTTAAAAAAATGGAAAATAAAAAACAGCCAAGTGATCTTGAAGTCCCAATTCCAACGAGCCGATGAATCCCGCCGCAAGGAAGTTCTACATATCCGATATAGAACGAGTTGTATAAAATTCAATATCAAATATGCTTGTGCACGGAAAAATACGAGAAGAAAAAGAGACTTCTGCAAGACCAATTCTAGCAAGAAAGAGAAATTATCCTGAAGAAATATGCTGCTTTGATTCATGATCTGGATGTGGCACCTTTGTCTTGTCAGAAACGTACTCAAGCATCCTTATCAAGAGATGAGCCCTTTTCAAACGGGGAAGAATTTGATGTAGGCAGGGGGCAATTGACATGCCTTGCTTTTGGGTTGATTTGGTTCCTTGTTTAGGCTTGGTTGTCTCAGGTTTAGCTGCCCCATTAGCAAGCTGTTATTTTCTTCTACTAAAATCAGCTCATTATTAGGTAATAAATGCCTTCCCAGGTTCATCCCCTCTCCCCCCTCTCTGTTGGCCTTTCGATTTCTCCGCTGGCTCCTGTCCTGAGACTGGTTCCTATCTCGTGGCTGGCTGTTGCTGTTTCACGTGGTTGCCCATTCATGTCCCCCGTGTGGTCCCTTCGGCTGCTGATCCAGCCATTGCCTGTTGGTCTTTTGGCTCCCCTTTTAGGTTGGTTCGGCTGGAGGTGATTGGGGTTGTTTGGCTTCCTCTTTTCAACTATATATATGAGTTGTTTTGCAGTAGAAAAGAGATATTATGGAGTGATTTTTGGAATCTAAAAACCTGAGTGTTTTTCCTTTGATAGCTTGCGAGCTTTATCCACTTCTTCTTCTCCTATCTAAGACTTCGTCTCGGGCTTCTTATCTACTTTTTCTCTCCGCAAGTGACCACCCCATTTGTATCTTTCTTCTCGATGAATGAAAATGTTCTTTAGGAGTTTTATGTTTGTCATGAGAGGTGTATGGCGTTGAAATGTTTTTTTAAGCTTCTTTAGGTGTCAATGTGTCATATGTATTTTTTTAATATTTTTAAAAGAAGACGCTTAGTTTCTATGCAATCTTAGTGTTCCTTTAATTTTGATTGCATCAAAATTACACTCCATCTATTCCATTTTAGATCTACTCAAGCGAAAAACTTTACCTCCATAATTCAAGTTTACCTTCAACTCCCTATCTAGTCTTATCAACAAGAAGAATATCATCAACAAAAAGCATACACCAAGGTACATCCTCTTGCAAATGTCTAGTGAGAACATCCATGACTAGAGTAAAAAGATATGGGCTTAAGGCTGATCCTTGATGTAACCCAACCAAAATAGGGAAATACTTAGTCAAACCACCTTGTGTTTGAACACAAGTAATAGCTCCTGCATACATATCTTTAATGATTTGAATATAAGCATTATTAGCTCCTTTCTTTTCAAGAACTCTCCATAGCACTTTTCTTGGAACTTTATCATATGCTTTTTCTAAATCAATAACTATCATATGTAGATCCTCCTTATTTTCTCTATATTTCTCCATCAAAATTCTTAATAAATATATGGCTTCCATAGTCGACCTACCCGGCATGAATCCAAATTGATTTTGAGAAACATTAGTATCACGATTCACGCCGCAACCTATGCTCCATAACTCGCTCCCATAGTTTTGAAGTATGACACAATAACTTAATTCATCTATAATTCGCACAATCTTGTGCATCACCTTTATTCTTAAAAATAGGAATTAATGCCATCATTCTCCATTCATATGGCATCTTTTTAGTCTTCAAAACAGTATTAAAAAGTTTAGTAAACCAAGAAATTCATTCATCTCCTAAATATTTCCACACCTCTATTGGAATATTATAAGGTCCAACAGCTTTTCCACCCTTCATTTTCTTTAAAGTCTCTCTAACTTCGGTTTTACTAATACATCGATTAGGCGTGTCAATTCGGGTCAACGGGTCAGGTTCGGGTCGAACCCGTAACTATTCGGGTCAACCCGAACTCGACCCGTTTTTAAAAACGGGTCAGGTTTCCGGACCCGAACCCGACCTGATTCGAGTCCGAGTCAACCCGACCCGACACGAATGACCCAGGGTTGACCCAAAATTGCTAGTTTTCGGGTCAAAAATCAGGTTACTATTTGATTTTCGGGTCAAAACGGGTCAATCTCGGGTTTTCGGGTCAAATAAGAGTTTTCGTGTCAATTTAGAGTCAATTTCGGGTTGCTGGGTCAACCCGAACCCGACCCAATTTTTAAAACGGGTTGATTTGTTGAACCCGAACCCGACCCGTTTCGGGTTTGGGTTGACCCGAACCCGGATTTTTCCGGGTCGGGTTCGGGTCGTGTCAAAAATTGACACCCCTAACATCGATAAAAACAAAAAATTTTATTTTCATTTAGGGTGCTAAGGTCAGTACAGTCAATCTTATTTTCACAATCTTCATTAAAAAATTTAGCAAAATATCGCATCCACCTTTGTTGAATATCTTCTAAGAAAAATATTTTTTAATCTCCATCCTTAATACACTTAACTTGAACTAAATCCTTACTATTATCTATTTGTTTGACTAACTTATACATATATCTTTCTCCCTCCTTAGTATATAATCTATTATATAAATCAATAAAAGCTAAGGTAATTATATCGCATAGTGTTTTCTTAAATTATTTACGAGTCTCTTTAAATTTTTCTCACTTATCAGAGTTTTTAAAATTAAACCAATTTTTATAACAAATCTTCTTGTTTCTAAACTTTTCTTGCACATTTGGATTCCACCACCAACTATTTTTACTATTAAGAGTTTTTTCCTTTAATACTTCAAGTACATCTTTTACAATATTCTTAATATCACTAGCCACTTTTTCCCACATAATATTAGCATCCTCATGCACAAACAAAATCTTAAGATCTAAAATCTTACTCTCAAAAATATTTTTTTTAATATTTTTTAAATGCCCCCATTTAATCGTAGAATATTATTTTACTTTATTTTTTTATTTTCTGTCTCTTTATCTTAAAATCCAAAATTAATAATCGATGTTGGGTACATAATTTTTTACTCGGAATAACTTCACAATGTTTGCAATCTAAACGATCTAATTTTCTTATAAGAAATAGTCAATCTAAGTTGTACTATATCAATTTTTATAAGTGATGCAATGCTCATTCCTTTTCTTAAATAAGGTATTAGCAATTAAAAAAATCATAAGCTAATCAAAAATCTAATATGGACTTGCCACTTTCATTTATCATTCCAAATTTATGGCCACCATGAATGCTTTTAAAATCATCTAACTCTCTACCAACATGTCCATTTAAATCTCATCCAATAAAAACTCTTTCTTCAAGAGGTATCTTTTGTATTAATTCTTCCAAGTCATTCCAAAAATTTAATTTAAAACTCATATTCAAACTTACTTGAGAAACATAATCACTAATAATATTAACAATCTTAGCATCAACAACAATATTTAAAGTTATAATTCTATCTCCAATTCTATTAATTTTTATAATATTATCTTTCAAACTCTTATCTATAATAACACCTACACCATTTTTAATATGACTCATACCCGAATACCAAAGTTTAAAATCTAAACTATCAATTTCCTTAGCCTTCTCTCCAACCCATTTAATTTTCTGAATGCAAAAAATATTTAACTTCATATGAATCATAATATCTACTAACTTGTAAGTTATGTAATTTGCTTTCGTAGGAAACTAGATCCATATTTAAGTAAATAATCCACACAAAATGCATCTCTAAGCAGAATTAGCTGTTAAAGAATGAAATTATTTGATGACCATGGCAATGATGGGGGCAGAGGGTAAACCTACAATGAGCATAAAAACATGCCTTTTCCACTACCTACTAACACTAAAATATATTATTTAGAGGCTATTTGATTTGAAGTAACACATGTGTAAAGTGTTTTAAATGTAGGAGTTTTGAGAATATCGGTGTTTAGTATGAAGTAAAAAAATGTAGTGTAAAATTTTGGTGCATTTGGAATTCACCATAATTTTGATGTATTTGAAATTCCTCAGATTTGGACGAGTTTCAAATACACCATAAATTCATCGCCATTTGCGCCGCCCCCCACTAGCATTGTCCATCTCTGGTCATCGTCGCAGGCTACCACCACCATCATCAGCCACCGGCCACTTCCACCATCGGCTAATACCGTCATCAGCCACTTCACACCTCTGACGTCGTCAATCACCACTGCTGCCACTACAGGCCATCGACGCCCACCACTGTCGAGCTTCACTAGCCGCCGCCATCGTCGGTGACCTGCCACCTCTCACTACCTGCCACCACTGCCACTGTCGGCCATCGACTATCACCCTTTTTGGACTTTATACTACATCCATCTTACTTCAAGCTAATACAAAATAGTAATCTCATGCATTCTTTTTATACTAAGCCACTCTAAGATATTCTTTTTATACTGTATTTCTTTTATATTGCATTCTTTTTCAGCCAATCAAACAACCCCTTAAAGAAAAAGCGGCACTACATAACCAAGTAAAACAGGATTTGAAAACCACATTAACTATTCTACGGCTCCAGGAATCAAAAACAGGCAATAACATCATTTAAAAACAAATCGGTTTCAGGTGTTAATAGGAAAGAAACAGTAAAAAACTTCAAAAAAATAATAATCTAAGCAAAAATAAGAACAATAATCAGTTAATATCTAGACATAGAAAGTTTTCATGGATAAAGTCAAATGAAGCATCGCAAGAACACACCTATTTTTTTTCAAAAAATCCTCAATTTGATCATAAAGGAGAGAGAGCCGCTCAAAATGGATATGTCCGCATATTGCATGAAAGTCAAAATGTACATATCTACAACAATAACAAAACTTAAGACAGCACAAGAAAAATATTCAAGCAGTAAATACATGCATAAAAAAGGTATTACCTTATGATATCATTACTAATAGTCTCCATAGCTTGTGCAAATCTTTCACTTAGACGTCCCTCGCCACCATGCTGATTAAGAAAAAAAAGAGGAATAACCAGAACATTATAAGAGACCAAAAAAAGGAATCTAAAAATCCAAACCCATCTCAAAACTAATATGAAGGCTCCACGATGAAAAGTTTAGAAGAGTGTTCTTGGGCAGTTCAAATATTCTTCCTCAACAAAATTACAACTTTACATACTGGTCAATGAGCTATTGTAGGTGGAAACAATTGCATGAACCCTATTTTCTCCTTGCCGGCCTTATTCCATTAAATTTAAATAAAAAATAACAAGCCAATACTGTAAAGCATGGACATGTTCAGAGCACACACTACGCTCAAAAAAATGATCCAATGGCGCTTAAAACATAGCGCAAAAAATCAAGCAAAATTGAACAAACAAGTACATGTGATCATTCAATGCCTAATTTGTATTAATTAAATTAGTATGTAATAAGTTCAACAGTAGATGATAACTGTAATTGATGATGAAACTATACTACTACAGGAATTACCTTATTTACTAGATTAACAGCTATGACAGAATTATATCTTTTGACAAGATCCATAAAGTGGCGCCGAGCTACACGAGGCTGAGGATGCAGATACAGCATTTAGTTAGTTACATTCACAGAACTGAAGAAGCAGAATAATACAACACTTAATATAAAACAATTCCACCAATGAAATAACCAAAAAAATTCTGCAGATGCTCACCCCCTCATCAGGTTGCACAATTTGAAATGGAGGCTTATATGTGAGATCCACAATCTGTTCCCATAATAAAGGTATGGACCCCCGAACCTACAAAAGGGCAAGAACAATCAGGTACTTTCTCAGAATTCTTTCTATAGAAAAAAAAAAATCTGAGGCAAAAGAATTATGCAAAAGCAAAATAATGTAGAAGTTACACCATAAGCCTTCATACAAGTAAATCTATAATCTGAAACATTTTTTAGTCTACAGACAACAGAGCAGCTGCAAGAGGTTATCAGGAACATGACCGTCAACACCAAATCAGTGGACCGTCAATTTGAAACTACATTTTCAGCAGAATATCATCTTGATGCATTTATATTTTAGCTTATTTTTATTTTGATGTAATTTGAACAATTTTAGTTGTGTTTTATATTTTTTTTATGCTATCCAATGATGGAGATCATCCAATGATCATGGTAGGATGTGCTTGGGCATGGCAAGGCTTGGGTTTTCTAGCATTTGGGTCTCTTTTGTCCTTTGGGCTGCTTACAGTTTCTCGGTTTGGGCCTTGGCTGCTCTCGGGTTGGGCTTTGGCTGCATTGGTTTTGAGCTGAAATGTTGAGATTTACTTGATGCTAGCTCATTAATGCTTGAGCTGATGTTTAGCTCATTATTTGGTGGAATAAATACACTTCCTAGCTTATTAATGCATAAAGGTATTCTTCTGTATAGCTCATTATTGTGGAGTGGACTTAATTCTCTTTCCCTTCTCTTTACCCCTTTGGTTTCTTCTCCTCTGGTGCTATTTTCGAAGTGTGGTTCATTCCCGAACCTTGCTGTGCTGATTGCCCTCTGTTACCTGGCTGCCCGTTGGGATTTCCTTTTTTACCGGTTATGTTTCCTGCTGCATTAGGTCTTCTTCTCTGTTTGCCGGTTCTATTCCTGGCCGCTGTCCCGTGGATGTTATAATCGGTTTCTGGCTGGTTTTTTTAGGTTGCTTTGTGGCTGACCTTTGGCCTTTCATTTTCCCAAACCTAATTGGTTTTGGTTGGAGGTGGAATGGCTGTTTGGCTTCTTTCTTCTGCTTATAAATTGGAGATGTTTTGGAATGAGAAAGGTTGTTGAATATTTGAAGCAAAGTCTCTACCAAAACCTGAGGGTTTCTTCTCTTGGAAAAGCTTGAGAGCATGTTCCACCCCCCTTTCCTCCTCTCTATTTCGTCTTGGCTTCTAACCTCTTCTTCTCTACGCAAGTTCCACTCCACTTGTATCCTTCTTCTTGAGCATTTGGAAGTTGTTTGTTGGTTGATTTTGGGAGGCATTTGCCGGAGGAGTTTGGTAGGACGTTGGATCATTTTGCGGTGGTAGACCCTCGGTTTGCAAGCCTAAGCACTTTATCATATATTTTCCTACTTCTCGTTGCATGTGAGGAAACCGCTTGCCGGTTGTTCCGAGGATAGTATTTTTATATTATAATTTTGTTTTGTTTGATTTGACTTTTCGTTTATCAAGATGTTTGTTTGGATGTTTGCAAATTAAATTGAATCGAGTTTGATTTTCATTATCCTTGTGTTCTCCAACTTGGCTTTTTTTTCTAGTTTGCTTGCATCAAGTTTGGTATCAAAGCAGGTTAGAATATCCTTGGTTGGTGAGTCTTTTTCTTTTGAAATCTAAGATGGCTAATAATTCGGGGGATTAGCAAAATATAATGTAACAGTTAGCGAATTTGCAAAATCAAATGAATGAAATGGCTAACACTCTTGCTAATCTAAAAGTCAACCAACATAATGTCCAAACATCTGAAAGTGAAGAAGGGTGACGACTCTATTTACTGAACCAACGGTTTACTAACACTGAAAAACACCGTAATAGTCAGGACTTCTTACTTGTTTAGTGTGACTATTGAAATGCATGTTTTGAAGTATTTTTTTATTATTACTGTACGGATTTATTATTACTTTACATATTTATTATTATTGTATTATTCTACTGCTCCTGCCACTGGATTGTTAATAATATAGATACTGATACTACTGATTCACTATATTGATATTAAGCATGTAATATAATGAGCATGTGATATACATAATTTATTGAGCAAGTGATTGAGATATTGAGCTTGAGATTGAGATACTGATTTAATATTGATATGTAATAACTAGATAGCATGTGAATGCTCTTATATGATTTTACTACATTGATACAATTTTAACTTTCTTTATTGATGTTTTGATTTGATGTTTTATCTAATTTCTTTACTGATTGATATTACGAATATGACGATTGCTTTATACATTTGATGCTCTTATTGATTTACTATTTTGTTAGCTTACGTACTATAGTATTTTATTGTTTACAGATTCTACTGCTACTACATTTGAGTTTTATTACTATTGCACGGATTCAATAATCATATGAATGTAACTACTATGGTTTGACTATTAACATGCATATTGCTCATTTACCGTGTTTTGAATTCAGTTGTAGGTTTTAGTGACCTGCTGGGCTTTTTAAACTCATTATATGTGGTTAAATAATTTCAGGTTAAGGCAGGGGAGTAGGAGTGTGAAACAGGTTAGGCTTCTTCAGATTATGTTTCTTTTTATTTTTATTATGCTTTTGTACTTATGACATAATAGATATGTGATGATTGTGTAGATCCTGAATAGTGTATATGACTTTTGAGAAAGAATATAGATGTGTATATTGATGTTTTAAATTAGAATTTATTTTATTATTTATTATTAATTGATGTATTAGATAGCTCTGGTAGTTGTTTATTAAAAGAATAATTCTTTCAATTTAGATTCTGGGACAAACACAATGTAGGCTTATCTAGTCAGATATTTCACATTTACTTGTACTGGTTTATCCCTCATATATGACTTATCTCACATTTCTAATACATCTCACATTTTGATGATTCAGTAACTAAATACATGATGAAACTGGAATTTAATGCTATCATAATTATATCAAATGTGAGGTTTGCAATTATATAAATTTTTTACTATTTCCTATGGCATCATTTGGATATCTTTCTGGGAATTGGTTCTCCTAGATCCTTCCTTCTTTCCTTTTTTACACCGCCTCTACCAAACCTCTCCTCATTCAATCTTCCTTAACTGAATTCAACAACAACCCACTGAATTTGTCAACAACCCACTGAATTTGTCTTCTTACTGTGTTCAACGACTATTTTCAACAACTGCGGCAGCATTTTAGCAAAATTCAGCAACCACCATTACCTGATATAAACAAACAAAAATGCGCTTACCTGCTCTTAGCTTTTCCTCTACCTTTTTCTCACTGATTTCAGCAATTTACAAGTCTTGATCACTCCCCTTACTGATTTTAGCACACAAACATAGATTTCAGCTAACTTAACGACAGCCTTATCTTTTCTCCCAACCGAATTCCACACTTATTGATTTCTGTACCCAATGATTTCAGCAATTACACTTTCAGCGACCTACAGATTATTCCATTACAGATTTCAGAAAATACAAATTCAACAAACAATATTCCATTCAAAATTTCGGAAAAACAATATTCCATTCCATCCTTTTAGCAACAACAGATTTCAGCCAATATTCATTTCAAAAATCACTTAATATATTAGTTCTAATGCTAGGATCAGGTAGCTGTGTAGGATTAGGAGCCTCCACAGCAGACAACAGCCTACAATATTCATTTCAAAATCACTATAGATTGTATGCTGAAGTTTTCTGACCTGCTTGAACTAGTGGTAGGATTAGGAACCCTCCACAGCATCCTACAGGAGCAGCTCCAGCAAGCCCACACGGATCTCCCTGCTCCTGCTCACGGCCTTCAGTTGCCTCCAGCAATCAGAATGATGGACGGGTGAGGAATCAAAGGAGAAAATGCCAAATGCTTAAATCGACTATTAATTTAATAGACTAACATTTCCACTAGCTTAATTCCTTTAATACTAGCCATGTGATTCCCATCAGCCGTTGCATGCATCAATTAGTTGATGGGATTTGCTTAGGTTAGTGGAATGCTTATGCTAGTAGATTAGGTCATGCTACAGGTAAGTGTTAGTGAATAGGTAATTTAAGTAATTTAATAAATAGGTTTCATGCTTTATATTTTTAAAAATTTTGGGTATTATTGTTTTAATGGATTAAATTCCGGTGGAAATTTTTGAAAGGCATACTAGATTAAAAAAAGACACTACTCAGAGATTTCGCCCTCTTAACAATGACTTTAACATCTATGTTCTAATTTCCTATAAACACAAGCCCCTTTAGTTGATTATCCCTCTCGATAATGAGAGAGAACTTTCAATTAAGGCTAGTCGTTAAATAGATACTTAGTATCTAGCGTATAGCAGCAGCAATTTTGGATGTAAAATTTAATATTTAAATTCAAAAATTCACTACCTTGCACTTAAAGCATATGGTGAAGGGAATGATGATGAACATGATCAAGATCCCATGGTTTAATCATCTTAGGTCATCATAGTCCCTAGTCTACTTAGTCAGAGGATATAGTCGATCCATCCTGACCGAATGATCCTTGTCGGCAGCCATGAGTTATTTCGTACAATGGTACCTTGTAGACTTGGGGTGAATGTTTGTTTAAGCGACAAATTCAAGTCAAACTTAGCTAATAGATGATTTTGTGTAACACCCCATTTTGACCTCTCTACAGTCAACCTGGAGTGTAACAGAGGAGAAGAATTTAGAGCGACGTATCTCTTACTAACACCCATCCTGAAATGCTTCTATTAGGATCAAGTGAGTAGGAAATAGCCTATCCAGATTATCCCCACATCAAAGTTTTTTTTTTTTTCAATTCTCAATTGGAGTAAAGATTCTATAACTGGAAGCATCACATCACATAAAATAGAGAGCTTACTAAACATCCAATCATATTTCTATATCCAAAATTTTATCAGTATAGCTTCTACTCTGATCTCTCTATACACCCAAAACGTTTGTACACAAAAAGGGCAGTCAACCTTCCTACCTAATGCCTCACTGAATCGTTCCTCTTTCCTACCATTCAATCACACCCAATGAGCTAAAACTCAATAAAATATGCAAGCATGGTAGAAGAAATAAAAACATGTTTGAAGTCAATTAAAAATAATATGGGGATTTCTATGATAATCATAAGTTGTACAGTACATTCATATATATTTAGCATTCCACCTATTTACCTCTCTTTGAACACCAAATGTTCAAGGAGCATCCATGAGTTTGCAATTCAAAGTTGTACGCTTCTCTCCTTCACTGCTTCACACCTCAAAGGTTGTAAGAGACTATTGCATTCATTCAATATTGAGTGAATCAAATATACACCCAAATCAATTTATTTGTTCAGCCAAAATCAGCAAATGATTCCATCCCAAGTATAGAAATCAAAACTATATCTCCATTTCATCCTTCTAACCCAAGTCGGATGGGTGAATTTCTCTCTTTGAACACCCAAAAGTGCAAAGAATCCCCATGTGACTTGTAATCCACATTTACATATCACTCTCTCCTGCATTTACCTAATCCATTTTGGGTAGATGATTACACCTTATTGAAGAGAAAATTCAGTAGCTCATTCTTAGTTTGCAAACCTCCAAGCTACATACTACATCTCTCTCTCTCTTACAAGCCGACAGTAGGCTTGTGTTGGGAGGTTGTACGAGCGGAGGAATGGAAAAGACGAGCTGCTGTTGGGGTGGGTTGGGTCTAAGGGAGCAACTAGAGCGGAAATAGAAGAGAGAGGGGGGAGAGAGAGAAGTGGAGTGGGCTAAAAATGGGATGCGACATATTATAGAATAGGTTATTTAGATTTTGTTCATTTATTTCAGTCGGCTGACATAAAATAGATAATATATACATGTAGTTTAACTAAAATAATATTTAAAATAAACAAAAGAGCTATGATTTAATTCTTGTTAATTATGCATCACGATTTCCATGTCATAATTGCCCCAAAACTCGTGCCAATATTGTGAATTTTTTCATGCAATGACACAGGCAATATTATAGTCTTTTCGATATGATTTCAACGTTCCTGACACAACAGCAAAGCCTATTTTGCGAGTGGACGATGAAAACCCAACGTTGCACAATATTATGTATGTAGTTTGTCGATTTCGATCACCTTCGCCCGATTTGATTGAAAGGGGTCCCTCCTCTGGTAAATATGATGCTCTTATCACATTGACACACTATGTTTGATGATCTGAAGTCATGTTTGCAATGTTGTGTAGCATCATTTTGCGTGTCGTTGCTTTGAAACTCGTGCCAATCTCGTGTTTTCACTCGTGCAAGGACCCATACAATATGGTAGTCATCATGGGTATTCTCGACATTCCGGACACAACGCCAAAGTTCATTTTGTGAACGGACAATATTTGAGCAACGTCGCACCAGGTTTCATCTATAGTCTGTCGATTTCGATCGCCTTCGCTCAATTCGATTGTGAGGGGTCCCCCTTAGGTAAAATCGATATCCCAAACACAACGATGCAGTCCATTTCATTCGGGTAATTTTGTTCAATGTCATGCTTGCCAACAGTCATGCTCGTCGTCATTTTTTTAGTTAACGCAAGAATGACTCTTCCTTAGCAAATTCGATATCTTAATGCATCGATGTGATCTATATCATGATCGGATAAAATTTTGAGTCATTTTGATAGCGATCGAGATGTCCCGATGCTCCTGATAAGCGACATATCTATTAGTCATATTCCTCGATGCACTCGATTGATCGTGGAATATGTACAGAGGTCAACATATACTTGTAACTCTATATACACTGTCACATAACAGAATGAAAAGAAAAAAGTATTGTAATATCTAGTTAAAATGTCCCCTAACAAGAAACATATGCTCATCATCGAATTTTCCTTCATTCGACGTCATTAGATTGGCCCCAAGAAATTACATCATTAGATTAGTCCCAAGAAATTAAACTAAACAACAAGAAAATGTAAAACTGCCATGGAGATATTGCATTCTAATGACCTTACTATTTTTCATCCCTCTTGTTTTGAATACTCTAAAGAATCCTTTGAGCACTAACATGTAGAAATTTATGAAAACAACACTACATCAACATGTTAATAGTTGGATTACCATACTTAAATATGATATAAACAGAAACTGATAAACTATTCGAGCTAATCAAACATTACAGGTTTAATAAAACTTAATTATTAAATGCCATGGAGATTTTATAATATATGAGGGATGGATAAATAACAAAATGGACAGCCTAATAATCCAGGTTGCACGCAGGGTTGCAAACAAGAAAAAAGGAGAAAAAGCCGCCCATTTATCATCTACAGTTATCAACACCACCACCAGCAGCCAACTTATATTTGACAAACTATTGCTGAAGTTTTGCATAACAGTTAGTAGGTTAGGTAAGGAACGGATTACTTGCAAAAAGGATGCTGTGAACCCATTAGCCTGCAAAATCTGTTCAGTTTCAACAAAGTTTGCAACATAACCTTCTAAATCAGCTCCTCTTCTCCACATACGGGTACCTATAAGTAGTTTGAAGTTTCATTCATTAATTGCATAATTAGTTGGGGGAAATAAGTGGATAGGAATAATAAGTAATATTTGTTCAAAAATAAAGTAGTTCCAGTTTCATTAAGTCTGATCTGTAAGAAATTGAAGAATTTAATTAATAAAAGCAAGAACTAAATGACCATAACCTGTCCTCCTTGTACATCTGCGTGCAATAAGGGATACATCAATGATATTTGTACCGAGAGCTGCTTCAAAATGCTGATAACGTGCTATTAGTTAAGGCTTAACGGAAACAAGAAATACTAAGAGCCAAAGGCAAAATTTAAAGTGTCAAAACCAAAAAGAAACAAAGGATATTTCCTTGCATGACAGGAAGTAGGTATGGATCTAACTGCAACATGTAATACAAGCAATAAGCATGTCAAGAAAGAAAAAATTCATAAATAATTAAAGATGCCCAGAAGCTTATCTAACGTTGTTATCAATGAGTGCTTCCAACATGTAACCATTCCAAAGAAATCTGGGGTCGGCCTGTAAAATTAAAATATTCAAAGTAATGACCATGACATGGCATAGAAATTAGGATGTTCCAGTAAGAAGAAACCATAATTTAGCTCCCTAGAATTAGAAAAGAAAAAAAAGTGGAAGGATTTAGGGCATTTATAGTAATAATTTGATTTTTTTGAAATTATTTTTTTAAATGAAAATTTTGAATTTCAATGTTGTGCTTTATCGAAGAAGAGAGAGGGAAGAAAGAGAAGGTTGTTCGTAGCTTTTTCATCCATCAATTTTGTTTAGAAATTTCTTCTATTTGTTGTAAGTAACTCAAATCTCATTTTAATTTTCAATTATTTTGATTATTATATAGATTTTTTTGTATGGAACAAAATTGATTATTTCCTACTGCATTTTGATTGTGGCATTCGCATAAGCAAGAAAGGTTGGCTATTAACACTATAAAATGGGTTAGTTGTTAAAACATAATACTATGCGCAATAGAGTGGGCCGACGGGCTTTCCTATAAAGATGATTTGTGGTGTTATCTCAGTTGTAACATGTAACAGATGATCAATTATGCCGACGGGTAGAGAGTGACGACTATTTATTGATTTAATGAAGTCACATGTAATGATAATTTAAAAACACCACGTTACAATTGAATGGCATGCCTTACTAAATCATACATTGATGCATGCATACAATGATAGTACTGATGACATTGACAGCATTAGATGTATTGATAGTACATAAATAGATGATGCATATGAATAGATAAAATAGATTATTTTACTGATTTATGAATGATTTCTGCACCGTTGTTTTATCAAATTTCATACCAATTATTGATTTTTAGATTTATTGTAATGATTATCTGCTTTTATTATTGATCATTTTAAATTTTATCCATAGTATTTGGTTATTAACTACATTGACTATTATTGATTGTATTAAACTAAGCATTTTATATTAATTCTTTAGTCCTTGCATTAAAGCTTTAATGAGTTTTGGATTATTGCTGGGTTTTTTAGTTCATTAAGTGGATTTTAATGATTTCAGGTCAAGACCAGTTGGACTAAGATTGCCAGAATTCCTCATATTTTCTTTTTCTTTTTTTTTTAGTAAGGAGTTTGTGATAGATTATTTTATTTTCATAAATAGATGATGCATATGAATAGATAAAATAGATTATTTTAGTGATTTATGAATGATTTCTGCACTGTTGTTTTATCAAATTTCATACCAATTATTGATTTTTAGATTTATTGTAATGATTATTTGCTTTTATTATTGATCATTTTAAATTTTATCCATAGTATTTGGTTATTAACTACATTGACTATTATTGATTGTATTAAACTAAGCATTTTATATTAATTCTTTAGTCCTTGCGTTAAAGCTTTAATGAGTTTTGGATTATTGCTGGGTTTTTTAGCTCACTAAGTGGATTTTAATGATTTCAGGTCAAGACCAGTTGGACTAAGATTGCCAGAATTCCTCATATTTTCTTTTTCTTTTTTTTAGTAAGGAGTTTGTGATAGATTAGTGATTGTACTGATCTCCTGGCTATTGTATAATAATTTTGGGAGAATGAATATAGTACAATATTTTGAGGTATGTGAATGTTAGTTGTTTTCATTGAATATACAGATTTATTATTTAGAAGCTCTGATTGATTAATTAAAAATATAAAATAGATAATTCTTTCAAATTTGATTTTGAGCGTTACATTTATAATATATTTTAACTTTTTATGAGCATGAATAGAAATTGAAATACGAATATAGAAAATGTGAATAAATTAGAATATAAGAGAAATTTTCCAATGGTAAAGGCACAATCAAAAGCTAAAATTTTTTTAGTCTTTCTCACACGTTAGAATACACAATTAATTGAGAATCCTCTACACATAAAAGAGGCATATGATGTGACATGGGGCAATACAATGGCACATCATATTTATATCAATAGTGTTTCTCAACTACAAGTATCCCCCAATAGCCTCACACACCTTTATTAATGTGGTAGGACGGATTTATAGATACTATTAAATACCCCTAAGCACCTTCATTTGGGTGTCGGGATGCCTCTAAGCACTTTTATTTGTTTGATAAGATGGATTTGATAGGTTGTGTTTTTTGCATCTGGCCCAAAGTGATTTTTCGACATTGCAGGTAGAATAATTCCACTAGCCCCTAGTGGGGCTGACAAGGAAGAAATGTAAAAAATCATCAACAAAATTCATGGTCTTACATAAACGTCCTCCAACTGCAAATAACAATCATCAACAAAATTCATGATTTATGGTTGCTTAAGGGTATGGAACGTTTACTCCACTATGGTGGGCCCCCGAAACTCAAGTCAGATCACCTCAAAGAAATAAACTATACAAATCTTTTATAATACCCAAGATTATCAAACACACACAATGAGGATCTTAAATTCCTTTAGTGCATATGAGGTCTAGGCATCATAAGATAATATAATGAACTCTCTTACAATATCATCTAAGTCAACTCGACAAGTTTTTCAAAGATAAATGCATGTAATCAACATAACTACCCACGTGTCTTGATAGGTATAAATGGGCAACTAAAATCAATCCTTTAAGGGAGCATCCACATACATAACGACATACATAATGTGCCTGGTGATCCATTGAAGCAAGATTCGCCAAGATGTTCAGCTTTACATTTGCAAAAAAAAAATCTTTAAAGTCATTTATAGCAAATAATTAATTCATGTTGACCCGCTTATTAGAAATGGTCATAAAATTCATTATTGGACTTTCCTCATTCTAAAATTGTCGTTGTCAGGTCCCAAGTCTTGGATGAGAAGCGTGGAGGGTTACGTCAAGTAGTCGACAGCCAGCATAAAACTTGTCGAATAATCATGACAAGAATCCTTTAAAAAATTATGTTAATGTTAGGACGTCCCCTGGAAGTGATGTGATGTATGGCCCGAATACAGCGACAAGTGTGCAAGGGCTGCTGCACCGGCGCCCGGGTGCAGTGTTAAATAGGCAATGGCTCCCACATCAAGGACGAATGTGGGCAAATAAGCTAGTCCATGAAACTAAAATTAGGATAGGAACTTATAATATAAGTTCGCTTATAGAAAAATTAATAGATTTAACATATATTATGATTTATAGAAAGATAAATAGAATTTGCATTCAGGAAACAAAATAAGTTGGAGAAAAGACTAAGGAGATTGATAGTTTAGGTTTTAAACTATAGTATTTGGGTAGGAGTCATACTAAAAATAATGTAGGTGTGATTATAGATAAGAGTTTGAAAAAAAAAATGTTATAAAAATTAATAGAATTAGATATAGAATTATAACTTTAAAGATTGTTCTTGATATTAAGATTGATAATATTATAAGTGCTTATGCTCCTCAAGTAAGTTTGGATATGAGTTCAAAATTAAAATTTTGGAATGACATAAAAGAATTATTACAAAAGATAACTCCTATAAAAAAAAATTTATAGAAGGAGATTTAAATGAACATGTTGGTAGAGAGGTAGATGATTTTAAAAACATTCATGGTGGCCAAGGGTTTGGAACGACAAATGAATGTGGTAAAACCATATTAGATTTTTTTTAGCTTATGATTTTTTAATTGCTAATACCTTATTTAAGAAAAAAGATGAGCATCTCATCACTTATAAAAATGGACATAGTAAAACTCAAAATGATTATTTTCATATAAGAAAATTAAATTCTTTTAGACTGCAAATATTGTAAAGTTATTCCGAATGAAAATTTATGTACCCAACATTGATTATTAGTTTTAGACTTTAAGATAAAGGGGCAAAAAATAAAAAATAAAATTAAATGATAGTCTAGGATTAGATGGGGCATTTAAATAATATTAACAAAAATATTTTTCTAAGCAAGATTTTAGCTCTTAAGATTTTGTCTGTGCTTGAGGATGCTAATGTGATGTGGAAAAAATGACTAATGATATTAAGATTATTGCAAAAGATGTGTGCTTGGAGCATTAAAAGGAAAAGCTTCTAATAGTAAAAATAGTTGATGGTGGAGTCCAAATGAATAAGAAAAGATGAAATATAAGAAGATATGTTATAAAAATTGGTTTAGATTAAAAATTCTAATAATTTGGATATATATATATAAAGAGGCACGTAAGGAATATAAAAAAGCAATATGCGAAGCAAAGATCTTAGCTTTTAATTATTAATATAATATATTAATACTAAGGAAAGAAAAATATATATATATATATATATAATTTAGCTAAACAAAGAGATAGGAGTAGTAAGAATTTAGTTCAAGTAAAATGTATTAAGAATGAAGATCAAAAAATACTTTTCTTGGAAGATGATATTCAACAAAGGTGGATGAGATATTTTGCTAAACTTTTTAATGAAGATTGTAAAAATATGATTGACTTTAGTGACCTAGCAACCTAAATTATAATAAAAATTTTTATTTTTATTGGTGTATTAGTAAAACCGAAGTTAGAAAGACTTTACAAGAAAATGAAGTGTGGAAAAGCTGTTGGACCTGATGATATTCCAATAGTGGTGTTGAAATGCTTAGGAGATGAAGGAATTTCTTAGCTTACTAAAATTTTTAATACTATTTTAAAGACTAAAAATATGTTAGATGAGTGGAGAATGAGTGTATTAATTTCTATTTTTAAGAATAAAGGTGATGCACAAGATTGTGCGAATTATAGAGGAATTAAGTTAATGTGTCATACTTTAAAACTTTGGGAGTGAGTTATGGAGCGCAGGTTCGTGATACTAATGTTTCTCAAAATCAATTTGGATTGATGACAGGTAGGTCTACTATGGAAGTCATTCATTCATTGAGAGGTTTGATAGAGAAATATAGAGAGAATAAGGAGGATCTACATATGATATTTATTGATTTAGAGAAAGCATATAATAAAGTTCCAAGAGACGTGCTATGAAGAGTTCTTGAAAAGAAATGAGTTAATAACGTTTATATTCAAATCATTAAAGATATATATGTAGGAGCTATTACTTGTGTTCAAACACAACGTGGTCTGACCAAGTATTTTCCTATTTCAGTTGAATTACATCAAGGATCCGCCTTAATCCCATATATTTTTGCTCTAGTCATGGATGTTCTTACTAGACATTTGCAAGAGGATGTACCTTGGTGTATGCTTTTTGCTAATGATATTCTTCTTGTTGATAAGACTAGAGAGGGAGTTAAAAGTAAACTTGAATTATGGAGGTCAACCTTAGAGTCTAAAGGTTTTTGCTTGAGTAGATCTAAAACTGAATATAGAGTACAATTTTAGTAGTAATAGATCTAGTGAAGGGATTGTGACTTTGGGCGATCAAGTCATTAATAAGAGTACACGTTTTAGATATCTTGGATCTATTGTTCAGAGTGATAGTGAAATAGATGGGGATATTATCAGTAGAATTCAAGTTGGATGGTTGAAATGGAGGAATGCATCAGGCTTGTTGTGTGATAGAAAAGTCCCCCTCAAACTTAAGGGAAAATTCTATAAGATGAGGGTGAGACCTGCAATGCGTTATGGTGTCGAACGTTGGCCATTAAAAGAGAAGCATAATACTAAGTTAAGTGGTACAGAGATGAGTATGCTCAGGAGGATGAGTGGCTTTACCCTTAGAGATAGGATACGAAATGAGCATATACGTGAAAAGGTTGGAGTAGCTCCAATGGAAGATAAGATTATAGAGAGTCGCCTTGGATGGTTTGGTCACATAAAACGGCGGCCTTCCAATGACCATGACCCAATTAGGAAAGCAGAGGTATTAGATTTGACTTATGTTAAGAAAGGTAGGTAGACCTAAAAATACTTGGTTAGAAAATATTAGAAATGATCTTTCTTTATTAGATTTAAAAGAGAATTTGACTTTTAACAGAACACAATGGAGAAAAAAGGATTCGTGTAGCCGAGCCCACATAGTGGGACAAAGACTTGATGTTGTTATAGATGTTGTTGTTGTTGTTGTTGGATTTTCCTCATTCTGAGGTAATAAGTCCAAAATGTAGGCTTCTCAAATATCATAGTAATAAGACCTACATCATGGACACATCATGGACATCCATGTATCGGAGGTTATAAATCCCAACCTCTACATATTCAATAGTAGAGAAGTACACCACAACTTTCGTTCTCTTTGAAACCCAACAACACAACATTCGCCAAGATATTTGGCTTCACACTTACATAAGCCCTTCAAAGTCATTTACAATGAATAATTCCCATTCAAGCTGTTTTAACTTAGGGTGAGGTCATAAGACTCGTCATTAGGTCACCTCTAATTAAAAGGTCATAATTCTCATTCCTAGCCATATCAACAAGTAGTATTGTAAGCCTTAGCCTCCTGTCGAGCTCAAACTACATAATTCAACACATGAACGAATCAAAGTTGACTTGCCTATAGAATGAGGTCGTGATACCCACCATATAACCTTTCTCAATTTGAGATCATAAATCCGACCTATAGACTTCCTTAATATCGAGGCCTACACCCAGGGTCACCTTGAATAAAGGGTAAATTAGTAAGACCCACTTTTCAATCTTTCCATCATCAATAGATATAAGTTTATATCTTCAAACGACACCAATATATCAGTTTGAACCCAATTTAATATAAACTTTGTCATACTTGGCTTGGGCCATAATTACATAAGTCTAACATACTTGGCTTGGGCCATAATATAAACTTTGTAATGGCCTTTTTAATGTTAACTCCTTTTATCTTTTCCAAAAGAATGTTGATATTCAAGCTCCATGCTATAGCTGGATTTGGAAAGCTCCGGTTCCAATGAAAGTGGCTATTTTAGGATGGATCATCTATATGGGTAAAATCCCAGGCAAATTTCATTTGAAAAACATGGCCATGTACATTTCTACGACTTTGTGAGATGAACAATTCTCAACCAAAGGATATATTTATATCTCCTTCAAATGTAGGTTTTTCTCCAATATTTGGAGTAATCTTCTTTCTCTTTATGAAGTCATTGATTTTGTGGATAGCATTAAAAAATTTCTCTCCGAAGAGACCAGCATTACTAATTTTTCCAAGAATATCTAGGACATCTTCCTCTCATTAATGTGGAATTTTTGGCAACAAGTAAATAACATATGTTTGCTAATAAAAAAAGGCAAAAAAAACAATGTAGTTTAACATCATCTCCAAAGTTTATTTTTGGATGGATGATTACAGGGGAACTAAGGAACTTATCATTAAGAAGAAATTGGAGCCTACCACCCAGTAAGCCTTTAGATTTATTTTGTAGAACTATTCAACTCAACAGGGGGAATAAGGAACTTATCATTAAGAAGAATTGGAGCCTACCTCCCAAATAAGCCTTTAGATTTATTTTGCGAAACTATATAACTCGAGTATAGCTTAGTTGCATTGTGTTGAAATCTTCTCTGTATTTTTTTACCTTTCTTAGCAATCTTTGTTTTTACTAAAGAGAAGGGGTTTGCGACATTCCTTCAATTTAAAAAAAAAAAACATCCATGTATTGTTTGATGTAAAACAAATAATAGATTTGCTCGACTTAAGTTGAACCTTTTTTTACAGTTCAAGATAATTTGATAAATCAATGTATTCTTGAACTTCAAAAATAAGGTTAGAAAGCATGCTAACTAATTACTTTAATGATGGGGAAATTGGTTGGGATCATGCAGTTTTTTCTTCTGCAATGACATGGCGTGATATGAGCAAGAAAGATCTTCTAGAATTCATGCCTAAAATAGGGGCTGAAAAAGAATTAGTTCCTCTGATTCTTTGGTATGCCTCAAAAGATATGAAATTTATACCTTCAATCTCAATTTTAAAGACTAATCCCAATGGAATTTAGATTCTTAATTGGATCAAGTTTGGAATTATACTACTTATACTTTAAATTGGCTATTTGAGAACCTCCTTTTTTTGCAACGTTTTGAAACGACATATGTTTCATACTAATATGATTGATACCTTATATTCTTGAAATAGCATGAATGACAAAAAAACTGCTTCGATTCATTGCTACTAAATAAATGAAAACAATAAATGGTAAGCGTTTGATCTAACTGAAGAATAAAGCTGGAAAAGGTTTGGCATAAGTATCAATGCACAGCTGTAACTTGTAACAAAATTAAATGGTTCCTCTATCATCAATCATGCAAAATAGGCATGCTTATATGGAATCATGCAATCACCTTGGTGATTATCCATGAAATTGTCAAACACTTGAAATATGCCCAATTCAATTAAATTTTGGTGTATTATAGGCTGCAATCCCACTATAGTTACGGCAGTTCTGTTATGGATGTAACATATAGCTGTAAATATGATAGGAAACACTTGGATTTCCAAGTGTTTCTCACCAAAATCAAATAGATCCAAGATGAAAACTGTTGTCCACAGCAGTAAAACAGCCAAAAACAGTAGAAAACAGGGGAAATCTGAGAAAAAAATGAAAAAAACAACTTGTATTTTACTAGTAGGCGCAAGGAAAATAGCAAAGATACAAGGATCCTCTATTCGAGAGGAGGATCGCACTCTCCCAATCTCTAGATTTCGATCTAGAGCCCTCACTATCCAAGAAGACAAAAGAAATTCTCACCAAAACATCACATAACCCTAATTCCTCTCTTTCTCCCTACTTAATGCATTCTAATTCAAAACAAAAGCAAAAGGACCTCTCTACCCTTCCTTCTCCCTCCAAAAATACTTCAATTTTGTTTGAATTCCAAGTGGACCCCACTCCCGAGCTCCCCATCGCTTCCGCCCGTCCGCTGTCTCGCGATCGCTGGCTGTCCCGCGACTTTTTGTCGCCTGGAGAAGACCCGGACCGGCTTGGCCGGTCCAGGTTGGACCGGCCTAACAAAATACTACCGAAACACATGAGCTTACAAAATGCCATAAAATAGACAAGTGCAGATATGGTTCTATCAAATAACCTCAAAAACCAAAAAAAAATCTACATATAGAACAATTTGATGAGTACAAATACAAGTAGAATATTGTGAAAACAGGAACCTGTCTCCAAAGCGGAAGCTTAGACTCGCCACCTAATTCATGTAGCCTCTGAGCACTGCATAAGATTCATCAGATACTACAATAAGCTACAGAGATAACATGAGGATAAAAATGAAGTGACGATTGTTGTCAGCAACTTCAGCACAAAATTCAAAGAAAACTCAACTAATCCATTTTTCTTTCAAGTATCAACCTTCCAAGGATAACGGAATAATTAAATAAGACTACTATGTAGGGTATGCACTGATGACATAAGGGAGCTATTCAGCTGGCTGTTTTTCGGGTTTTATGGAAGATATGACATATTTATGCTGAATCATACCGTACAGTTTTAATAGGCATCTTAAATCCTCTTAACACATCTACCACGTAAATGCTAATCAACGAAATGTTCGAACTCTTTTTCAGTTTCAGTTTAGGCCGTGGATGTAGAAGTTTCGGAGGTAATTTTGGTGGGTTTGATTGCTTTGTGCTCAATTCATTTATTTATATTATTACTTATTTTTATATGTGGCTTTAAATAATCATTTAAGAGTCGTCACTTTCTACTTGTCGATATAATTCAGTCAATCAATTACATGCTACAATTAGGATTACACCACCAACCTTTTTATTTAAGAGTCAATCCATATTCATTATAAGCCCATCAGCTAATCCCTCTGCGCAGAGTATTATATTTTAAGAGTCAATCCATTTTCATTATAATAATGTTAACAACTAGCTTTCATTGCTTACATACAAATGATATCTTTTATATGCAATGTAAGTCAATATTATTTTCATTAATAATTTTAAAAAAATATATATTCAGCTTTTGATCAATTCCAAAATTAAAATAATTTTATGATAATAACAAAATTTATGTACACCTACTAGGGTATAAATGAGTCGAGTCGAGTCCAGTATCTGCCTAATCGAGCTAAGCTTGTTTAGTTATTCTTGAGCTCAAGCTAGAACTCGTTTACTAAGCTCGAGTTCAACTTGTTAAAAAATTTATAGGCCCAAGCTCGTTTAAAAAGTTCGAGCTTGACTAAAATTTTTGACTTGATTTTTTAGTTTTAAATTAAAAATTTTAGTTTTGTTTTAGAATTTATTTTTTTAATATAGAACTAATTTAAAAATATTAAAAAATATTGTATAATGCTTTAAAATATATTTTAAGATAATCAAGGGGCTCAAAGAGCTTTTGAGCCAAGACAAGTTGAGCTCAAGCACATTTAATATACAAGCTTGAGTAAGGCTCAAGCTCGAACTTGTGGCTTGATAAGCTTGACTTGAGAGCTCATTAATGAGTCAAACTCGAGCCAACTCGACTCACTTACACCCCTAATCCCTACAATTTGTTAATGAGTTCTAATAATACTTAAATTACATGGCAGTGGCATCATATGTATTAATACTTTTGGGCTGATAGATAATCAACAAGTCTTCCTACTTACAGTTGTATATATATATATATATATATATATATATATATATGTCATTTCTAAAGTATTTATTACAAAATCTAAATCATTTATTATCATTAACTTCAAATTATCATTCGATTCATCATTATTTTTTGAATGATGGAAACGAAATATCTATTCAACATAAAAAGAAAATGTAGCATACCATTTTAACAATAATTGTTTGTATTGATAACTATGATGCACCGACACTCCTTCGTAAGAGGGAAATGCAGCGTCGGACAGAGACACGTGCCCAACATGGCTGGGACACGTGTTGAGCACGGCAGATCTGTGTCAGATTAAGATAATATTTAAATTAAAATGGACACGCGTGCCCTAATATTTGATAATTAAATTTATTTAAATTACATTTTTTTATATTTTAATATTCTTTTAATCAAATAAAATGTGTATATCCCGGTATTCACGTCTTAGTGATACACGTATGCTCTAGGGTTTTCATTTTCACGATCAAGTCTCCCTCGTTTTCTTCCTTTACACGACCAGGTGAGTGAGGCGAGCCGATCGAGTGAGCTACTGTTCGATTGAAGCCTGGTATATCGTCGTTCCCTCGTCTTCTTCGTCTTCTTCATTCATTTGTTTTTGAAGCTTCTTCAATTCTACGATGAGGCAAGGTCAATCGAGCAGGCGACGTCTCGATTTGAAGCCCGATATGTTTCTATTGAAGCAGTTTCCTCATCCTTCTCTTCATTTTGGCGTGGAGGCATCTAACTCGTTAATCTTCTTTATTTTCGTAGGCAACCAGGCATCAAAGTATTCCAACTCTTGTGTCTTCCCTATCGAAAGCAAAGGAGGAAGAGTGAGGCAGATACACTCAATTGAGCTACTGATTGATTGAAGCCCGATACATCCCCGCTCCCTCATCTTCTCCGTCTTCCCCATTCATTCGTTTTCGAGGCTTTGTCAATTCTACGAAGAGGCGAGGCCAACCGAGCAGGCAACTTCTCGATTCGAAGGCAGAGGAGGGAGAGTGAGGCAAATACATTCAATTGGAGTATAGTATGTTGGCTTCTTTATTTTCGCAAGCAAGTGAGGGCGTCGGATTTATTATTCAAAGGTAAATAATTTATATATTTATATAATATATTAATTTTCAAATCACATTAAAATTTCAGTTGTGCACGCAAGTTTTACAATTATATATGAGTTCTCTATTACGCATGCAAGTTCTACAAATAAAATTTCAATTTAAGAGATCAATTGGTGCTCGAAGGAGTGTGTTAGATTAGGTTATGCATGCAAGTTCTTTGTTTTTTTGGATTGAAACTATGTTCAAGGTTAATATATTTATTTGCATATAGTTGCCTAATGCTTATGTTTTATATGATTATCATGAATGCTTGTTCTCAATTGGGTTAACCTTTAAATATCTTACAGTATGTCACCCAATTTGCTAAGATTTTATTTCTTTCATTCCATCAATTTTTTTATGATATTGATTTATTTTACTTGTCATTTCTAATATGATGTTACATTAATTTATATACACTATATAAAAAAATTTGTAATGTCGTGTTCGCGCCGTACCTGTATCCTATATTTTCAAAAATAATCGTGTCATGTGTCCGTGTCGTGTTGTCGTGTATGTGCATCTTAGATTGATAAACCTAAAATATTACACACTTTAAGGTGTTCAATATTTTATTATTGTCTTGAATTGTACTAAGGAGATGATTATATTATTGCTTATAAAAGAGTTTATTTAATATTTCTAAAACGCAAATTCCCTAAAGAAAATGCATAGCCTATCCTAGCCTAATTTACTACATTATTTTTTTATTCTATAACCATTAAAGAGTGACGCCTGGGATGGAGGTAAGACCTTTGATTGATACACTGAAACCTGAGTTTGATTCCCTTACTACGTAGAGGAAAAAAAATTTGCATGAAGCAGCTTTGTCCTATCTTAAATTTGGCTACACCCAAGTGACAAAACCTCCACAGTTTGATGAAATCGGCAGAAAAGACCCTTAGATTTGGTTCAAATCAAATTGAAACCCAATCCAAAAGAAGCAGAATGGATATATAGTTCTCTTTTACAAACAATGGCCTGAGCCTGAGCAAGATTTATAGGATCAAAATAAGGTGCGATTCATCACCTTAGTGCATTCACCACCACCAGTCTTCCTCGTGTAGCAAGATCAAGGAAAAATCAGAACACTAAAGAGAAAGTAGACTCTGGATCCTTACGAAAACAAGTGGGTGCAATTGGAATCGATTTCACAATTGCAGAATTTAAGAAACATCACCATTAGCATTATAGCTGGGATGAATGTTGCTTCTTCTAGTTGTATTCTGATGTTCATCTCCAAAAGGGTTTCATAAAGATGAAGCTCATGAAGGAAAACGTCAAAAGGAAAGTGTGTGGGTGGATTTTTTGGATTTTAAAAAATTGTATTTCTTGGCTTCTTGGAAACGCAAAGATCTGATCCTCATTAGGCTTTTTAGATTGAAACCGGAAAGCCCTCGGTAGGATTTGTATCAGTAAAATCTTAACTAATATAATTACTCTGTGCTGGCATAAATATTAGCCAACTTGGCAATATATGGAATTACAAAGCTTTTCATCCATTTTACCATCCATCACTGGCAATTCATGGGCCTTAGAGAGAAAATCCCTTTATATTTCCAAGAAAATAAATGTGAAAGCTATAGAGTATTTTCTTTTATTTACAATGTAATTAGGACTTTTCATAAATAGAAATTAACAATTATAACCCAAACCAAAGCGGTAAAACACCAATGAACTACACAAATCCAAATCAGTTATCCTCTCTTCATGGTATCAAATATCCGGGAAGAGTCCTAAGTTTTCCTTTTTTTTTTTATTGGTTCTATCTTTAGTTCAAAATACCCTCTATCACCTATCGTGTTGTACAATCTAATATTTGCCGCTGGAAATCTAGCTCCAACCAACGCTGCAAGACACCCACTCTGCTAAGATAATATCCTCTTTTCTTTTAAAGGTAAATATCTTGCATATTAGAAGTAGTTGACCAATCAAATGATTTGAATCGAAATTTTCTAGGTGAGTACCAAAACCTTCAACCTTTATTCAAATCGAATGGAAGAGATTAACTTAATTGATGCTAGATTGCAAAAAACCTTCTCAAAGGAAAAGGAAAAGGAAAAGTTGGAGCACCTTATTGCTGAGTGAAGATGATCTCAATTTTGCCACATGGGATATGGAAGGTTTCTTAATTATGTCTTCAACATGATGTTCAATGATATAAGAAGTCAGCAGAACATATATGTTCCTAACACAGCCAAGAATACCAATAACACAATAAAATAAATATATTCCAAGCTGCGTAATACTGCCTTAGTCTATAAGATTATAAAAAAAATTCACATCACTAAGCAAGATACACTTCGGTTACGGAATACTATAACAAAATGAAAAAATGTGGCATGAACTCAATTACTATTAGCATATCAAAATGAGATGCAATGAATATGTTGCAACACTACAAATTTTTGTATAAAGAGATGAATTTATGAATTTCTAACAGAGCCAAATATTGAAAATAACCAAGTATGCAATCAAATACTTGGAAAAGCATTCCATTCCAAATGAAATGAAACCTTCTCTATCATTAGAAGTGAAGAAAGGAGATGTGTTGATGTTAGAAACCGCATCAATTAGGGACAATGTTGTTTTACATGTTGTCTCTACACCAAATGCAAGTAGAAACAAGCCTTACGAACCTAAACCAGGTTTGCCAAGGTCCAATAATCAAAAAGGTATGTTTGGCAACTATTCTAAGAAGGAAAGCTGTACAAAAAACATTAGCCAAAAACTCTAAGCGGTTTAGGATTTTGACATCAGCATCAGTGACTTGTTATTTTGTGCTCGTAGTTTTTCCTACTACAGTAGTTTTCACTCTACTTTAACACTATTGTTTGTTTTTTTACCCATTTTCCAGCACTTTATTTTACCTACAGTAGTTAGCTTTACTCTTTTCAGCATTAATTTTATTTAAGATCTACTGACTTTTATCTGCTTGTTTGCAGATGCTCATAGCCAGCAGTTTATAAAGCTTTCAGGTAGTTGCAGTTGAGATTTAAGTGCCAAAGATTGTGTTGAGTGCTTTGTTAGAGCTTGCAGTTTGTTGGAGAATTACTTGTTTGAGCTACTCAGTTGGAGATCTGTTTGAGTTGTTTAGTAGTTTGTACATGGTTGGATAGTGGAAAACATTTATTTCCTGCATTTTATGTTTTATGTTTTCTTTCATGTTTGATTTTATTTAAATTAATTGCGTTAATTAATTAAGAGTTAAACTTAATTTAAATTTTTAATTTGCTAAGTTCGTAAATTTTAAATGTTGAAGGTATTTTTAAACTATTCAATTATTTAAATTGATTGTTCAAATAGTTTCAATTAAAATTTATTACACAATTTGATTTTGATGTGTTTAAATTTTAAATGTTATTTTTTTAAAAGATATATAATCGATTAAATTGGTTGCTCAATTTAATCCAATTGATTAAAAGGTTTTAATTTTGAATTTTGAGTTTTAATTTAATTAAAATTTTGATTTTAATAAATTTTATATTTATTTCAAAATTAATTATTTGATGATTTAGATTTCTCTTACTTAATTAAATCGATAAAATTGATTAAATTAATATTAAGTTGGTTTAGTTTAAATCAGTTCAAGTTTTGATTTAATTAAATGATATTTAATTTCGAAATTTGATTTAATCAATTGATTTTATTTATTAAATCTTAGTTTTAATCCTATTTTAATTTCATTTAGAAATTGATGAATTTAGAATTTAATCTTATGTTTTTTATTTATTTTAAAATTAACTATTTAATTATACTTTAAATTAAATTAGTTGATTAAATTTTGATTTTTTTATTAAATTATGCTTTAATGTTTAATCATATCAATTTATTCAATCGCGATTTGATCGCGTGAGAGAGGTCAGGAGGAGTCAGAGGTGTCAGGCGAAGCTGAGCCGGGCGCAGACATACGGCGGAGAAATTCAATCAGAAGGCTCGGCTTGATGTGATTGATGGAGGCCGACGGGAGATCACAGAGCTGCAATTGGCTTCGAGTCGGAAAGCTCAGGGAGGTTTTTCTCGATTGCCCAGTGAATACTTTCACGTAAACCTTCCTCGTTTGTTTCTTTGCTATTTCATACGGGAGCCGGCAATTTATCTTGGCAATCGTGGAGACGTGTGACGTGCAGGAGAACATGTCGTTATCCTTCTTCTATTGCCGGCGTTTAACTGTTTTGCAGTTATACATATATTGAACTATTATTTATGTAAAAATATTATTTCTCTTAGCATTAAGTCAGCAGTTGGGTGTGAACTGTAGCTTGAACTGAACACTTCAATTTATTCTTATACTTTGTCATCACTTGAAGTTTGAAATTATTAACCCAAGTAAATGACTATTATCTATAATTGTTGCCATCATAGAGGACATTGATAGCCGCTGTTTGTTGGGGCGAATATTTGTTGCCTGCAACCCCATTACTATTACTCAATGTTGCCCATGGCTATATTACAGCTGTTATATGACTGCTTAAAGGATTGATAGTAGTTGTATTAATTATCAATTGGACCCAATGTAACAATTGTATGAATAAATCGTATTATTCATCATTCATTCATTTTAATTCTTTTTTTTTTTTAATTCAACACTTACACATAAATCATCCAAAGATTTAGCTTTCATATTGTAATTGTACTCTTACCAAGACTTCTAGATTTCTTATGATCATTATAAATCTTAATATTATTCAATTTTTGTCATTTTTAAAAGCATATTTCTTTTCCTGATTAAGCTTGTGTACCTGCTCGCTCTATTTATTAATGTAAGACCAATTTATAGACTTTCCTGGAACTTCTACAACAATTTTCTTAGTAGAACTAATTATAGAGTCTCACAACATGTTTGACTCAACTAAATAATTTTAATTTGCTTTTCTTAGCAACCTATCACGAAAGATTGGTGATTTCTGACCTTTCAACTTCCATCTCATATCCTAGGACAATCATTTGTCTTCTATTCTTTTTTTTTTTTTTAATATACACGATCATAACTACTACTATATATTTGGTGAATGGTGATCAAACACTCTTCATAAGAGTATTTTCTTTCCTCCTAAGTAAGAATAATTTTATTTATGATTTGTTGGCTCCATTTTTGTAAGTAACAAAGTGTTCTCATTTTTTTAAATATGTGTTTGGTATTGCAGAATTATAGACTAATACGAAATTAAGTATAGATTCTCATATTATATTTTTATCTCCTAATTCAAACCCACCATGAATTCTTTCATAGCCCATTCTACTATAACTAACTCACCTTAAATAAATATTATTTATTCCTAACCCTATATTATAGTATTTCATACATGTCTTCTCAAAATTAATTTTACAAAATTATCTTCTAATCCATCTTGCATTACATAAGCACTAACTACAATCATAATGTCTTCATTAATAATTATCTTAATAACAAAAACCTTTTCACCTCAATGGTTTTAATTTTCAACTTCCTATCCATTACTATCTTAACTCATTCCTATCATTACATTTTCCGACATACAATAACTTATATAACATTCACCAATATCCTTATATTTTTCTCATTTCCAATTAATTTCACGTAATCAAGTATCAATAAGTTACCGAACAATGTAAGGTCATGCAAGTGAGAGATGACTTTCATCTATTAAATAAATAGTCAAAAGAAAAAAGGTCAATAACTACTAACCAGAGAGTCAAGTTGACTTCATAAGAGAAATAGAGACCATGGGTCTTTTCAGCAGCATATAAGAGGGTTGAGAATTCAGCCTCCATCTTTTTCTGCCATAATTAGGATAATCAGGCAGAGTTAAACATACATAATAAATAATCAGAATAAAAACTGCTCATAAGCAACTTCGTTGACCTGTTCGACAGAGGAACTATCAACAGACATGTTGCAAGGCAAAATTTCAAGGGTTGAGACTTTGTAAATAGGGTGACCCAAGTAAGTTCCAACACATTCACGACTCGTAATTACAAACAGATAAGCCCCTGCCGTTTAAAAAATTGGATATAAAAAACAGATGATGGCATGAATTGAGAAAACAGACATTTAATACAATAAACAGAATGCAGAAATGTAAAATTCTTGTCAAGAGCAAAGAAATCGGCTATTACAAGAAAAAACTCAAATCGCTGCAAAGCAAATAACGCAGGTTCCCATTAAATAGTACATAAATCAAGGTTTAGCATGGATAAAGAAAACAGCTCACTTGCCTGCTATAAGCCTAAGCATTCCAATAACACCAAAAACAAGGCGAACCTTTGGTGATTGCATTTGTCCACACTGTGGAAGCTCTCCTACAAAAAAAAAATAATAATAATAATAATAATAATAATGTTTCCTACAGCTCAAAATCTTGACTCTAAACCAAAGATTGCTGAATTTTACTGCAACTGTCAAATGCTAACTTGTAACAATATAGATGCTAAAAGCCAATTCATTTATACGAAAAGTAAAATAAAACTAAGAAAACAGACCTAAAACTGAAGAAACAGTAAAATATAACTGCATAGTTAGCATTGCACTATATCAACAGTTGAATCTTAAGATGACGAAATTTTTAAAAGGAGCAGCTTAATAATTAGAATTAGTCACAGGAGTTGAGTGGGAGATTAATTTGAGAAGGAGCAGAATCGTGATTGATTTTTCCGGTTTTAAGAAACCGTAAAGCAGATTAACGGTTTATATGAAACCATGATGATGTGAAACGGAAACGCCATTTACTTGCCTAGGTGGCAAGACTAATTAAATCCCAAATCAATTTGGGGAGAGAATGAAAATCTGAAATTAAATTTCAGATTAAGTGATTTGGGAGGGAAAATTAAGTGAAATCCAATTTTGAATTCCCAAATTAAAGAGGAGGATTATTAATCATTCAATTGGGAGAAAGTTGGGCTGATTTTGTGGAGTCATTAATGTGATTAGGAGAGGGAGGGGAGGCCATTAAGGGGCCGGCCACATGAGGAGGAGAGAGGGGATGAGTTTTGAGAGAGTGGGGACCACCATTTTAATTTCAGATTTTGATTTTACAAAATCTGAAATTAAAATTTCAGATTTAATAAGGAAGGAAGATTCCTAAATTAAAACAATCAATTGGATTGAATTTGAATTTCAAATTCGAAATTCAATTTCAATTTATTTTGATTGCTTGAATTAAGGAGGCAATTTAGGAAACATTTAATGGCTAATGAAACTCCTAAATTTCATATTTGAAATTCAAAAGAAGAGGGGGAGAAGGAGGCGGCGGCAAGGTGGGAGGGGACCGGCGGGCTGGAGCTGGCCGGCGGCTGCTGGTGGAGGATTGGCCGGCGGGAGGAGCCTTGAAGGCCGGCGGGTTGGACCTTGTAAGCCGGTGGTCTGGATGGTTCCAAGGGGTCGGCGACAGCAAGGTGAGGGGAGGGGAAGAGGAGAAAATCTGAGGATTTTCGTTGCTTTGATTCCACCACCCTTTTAATCTTCAAGACTCGATCTCCACAACAACGAATAGATCAAAGAGAACTAAAAGGAAATGAAATACAAGAAACCTAGAACTCACAAAGAGATCTAGTTTTTCCTACGAACTCACTAAGAGATCGAGGAGAGTGAACTCACTAAGAGATCAACAAGAACATAAAATTTTCATTATCAATAATTCATCATCCAAATACAAGAGAAGGGGCCTCTATATATAGGCCTCAAAAGAAATTAAAAGACACATTTGCCCCTTGGGCTTACATAAGACAAGAGGGTAAAAAGGGAAATTGCAAAAATTAAATAAAAATACACTTAATAAACTGAAATGAAATAAAGTGATCTCGGCCGTCGATCTTCAGCTCCTCGGATAAGCATGGACGGTTGGATGTCCGCATCACATGAAGGATAATTCCGGCTTCATTAGAAACCAGTTAGAAAACGAAAAAGTGTTTTCCGGTTACAGTACAAACCTGAAAGTCGTTTTCCATTTTCTCTAGAAATCGGAAATCGTTTCTCCAGTTTCTAATTACCAAAAAATTAATTTAATTGGCATGTTATTCAGACACTAAGTTTGAGGGATTTTTTTTTTTTTCATGCCGGAGGTGTAGACTTTCCAACGTGAAATGCTCCCCGCAAATTTCAAATTGATTTTTCTGCATGCATTGTCAACCATCCAACATGAAAAGCAAAGTGAAAATTTCGGTCAGATTGATCAACAATAGCTTGAATTATTGGTTCAAATACTTTTGTAGTTGATTGTGAAACGTTGAATAGCTTGAATTATTAACTAAATCATTGAAATTAAATAAGCTATAGCAATCATTTTATATCATGATAAATAGGATATTTGATGGGGAAGAGTAACCACATGATAAATAGGATGTTTGATGGGGAAGAGTAACCACAGCTAAGTTTGCAAGAGCAATGCAGAAGTATTGGAAGAGTGCGAAAGATTTCGAGGAGAAGCGAATATCTGATAAGGTTAATTTAGACAATCACTAATTTTTTGTAGGAAATTTTTCATGCACTTAATAATTAGCATTGTAATTAAAAATATATGTATATATATATAGTATTCCATGTCGACGTCTTAAATTATTTGTGGAATGTGTTTGGACCTCCTTTATGCATCTTAATGTTGAATTAAAATATCATGTGATATCTGCTAAGATCTATTGACCAAATATATATGGTTATATTTGCTTAAATTAAATACTTAAGATTATAAAGTTTTCATAATTTTCAAAAAAATAAAAAAAAATTTCTTTGGGCATAAAACATTTTATGTTTTATCAATTTAAATTGTGTTTCCATGTATTATTCTTTTTTAGCAGCTGTCAAAATATGTTTATTTTAGTTAATCATATTAGTTGTTTGATAATAAAGTTATAAATAACAAAATTAGATTTAACTTATAATAATAATAGCAAGTTATATTATTATAATTTTAATCTTTGAAGTGTAGAATTTTTTGCCTCACCCTTTTATTGTTATCTAACCACCTCTTGAAAAAAAAATTCAGTGGAATAATTTTATCGATATGTATTATCTAGAAAAAACTAGATCAAATATACTTGAAACACTCTACAAGGTGGAAGGTGCAATTTCATAATATTGAAGACAAGACCATCCTAATATGCCATACAAGTGTGTTTAGCATCTATAACAGGAAATTTGACTTCAAGCTTTAATTCACAAAGTTGTAAAGGTCATGTAATCTATCCAAGGGTCTTTTTTATAATATAATTTTCTTCAATTCTAAGATAACAATTCCACAATATAATAATTATTTAAAATAACATAGATTATGCACAGAATTTCATAGATTTGGAAAAGACAAGTATCAAAATAATGGTTTAGTTTACAGCTTATAAATAAACCGTGAAAGGAAATACAGTTTCTCAAGAAACTAGCATTTCTTTCCGGTTTCTTAGAAACCCGAATATATTTTTCCGGTTTACTAAAACCATAAAAGTTTTTCCTGATTTCACTTAAAACTGTATTTCAATTTTACGATTCTACTCCGTTCACCTCTTAAGATTTAGTAGTTTGGAATACTAGACCATTAGTTCGGTACCAATTTGGCCAAATTTTTAAAAGAAGACTATTATTATTAAATTTAGCTATAGCATAAAATGACTGCTATAGCTCATTTAATTTCAATAATTTAAGTTATTGACTGTTCCACAATCAACTACAACAATATTTAAACCAATAATTCAAGCTATTGTCGGCTAATCTGACCAAAATTTTCACTTTGCTTTTCACATTGGATGCTTGGCATTACATGCAAAAAAAATCAATCTGAAATTTCCAAGGAGCATTTCACGTTGCACGGTCCACATTTACTGCTTGAAAAAAAAATTCCCTCAAACTCAATGCCTAATAACAAGCCAATTAATTCAATATTTTTGGTAATTAGAAGCCAGAGAAATAATTTCCAGTTTCTACCAAAATCGGAAATCACTTTTTCGGTTTCTAACCAGTTTCTAATCAAACCGGAATTATCCTTCACGGTTTCATATAAATCGTTAATCTATTTTACCATTTCTTAAAACTGAAAAAATCAATCACGATTCTGCTCCTCAAATTAATCTCCCACTCAGCTCCTGTGACTAATTCTAATTATTAAGCTGCTCCTTTTAAAAATTTCGCCAATTCAGTTATAATGAATCTCAGGTCTAAAATTCATAGCAAAATAGAATTATATAATTTGTCACCATGAAAAATTTACTACATGGGATGCAACCTTGATATAAAATAATAATGCATTTAGAACGTAACAAAACAGTTCATACTTCATAACTAATCCAGATCATGTTCAAAATATCCAACATAATTACGACCACTTTCAGAAAAGAATCAGCCTTTAGCTGATTTTTTTGCTTGTACTAGCCAAAAAAACTTATTTTCAGTGATAGCACCAGCAAGTGTGTGATTCTTAACTACTTACTGAAAGAACCTTCAAACACCATTAGACCGCATAATGACAGATTATATACATTTTTAGGCACCAAATCAATTAGAAATGTGTCAGCAATATCTCAAGGTAGTAACAAGAATAATTTCTACAAAGAAACCATATTTTCAGTGGTTGCGGTTGCCTAAGATGCTTCTCTATATCTCCGGTTTTAGGAGGCATACAAGCAGAATATATCCAGCGCCAAAAATTAATTTCAGGAAATTTTATTTCCCCTTTATTCCAGATGTCGAATGAACTTCCCAATCAAATAAATTAATGGCGTGTACGATTATATATACTTAGTGATTCCCAACTCATAACCCATAGAGCTGTTTTGCTTCATATTTAAAACAACCAACTTGAATCAACATCCTTTGTCTTCTTGTTGATATAATAATTATAGCAGCTTAAATTTCTTCTTAGTTGATGAACAAAAGTTTCAATTATTTTTCAATCATTTAGCAGCCACCCCATCAGCACAAAAATACATACAGAAAAATCATTGACATGACCAGATAGTAGAAAAAGTGAAAAAAACTGTTACGGTAACCCAATCTGCAGGAAACAAAACTCAGGCAAATGACCAACGTGCATCATAAATATATTGTCACTGCAGTTTCAAGCGTAAAGCAAAAGTGTAACAATACAAACCAATTAAAGCCATTGATCCATCTGCCCGGCTGATTGATAAATAAGAATCAGCAATGGCATTATCAATTGGTTCAAAGATATATTTGTCTGCAAATTCCCACAAGCGCATTCGTGCATACAGTTTTTTATCAGAATTTCCTTTCTCCGTTCCATCCATCATTTTACCTTCTGCAGAAATGAAAAGAAGAGATTGATACTAAATCGTTCTTGCAGCTTATCCCCCCCCAAAAAAAAGAATCAAGTACTTTGAAACTAGGAATTATTCAAGATATGAAAGCTAAAGTGTACAGTTTTCGAATAATTGAGCTCATAATACTTTTTTAGGATGCATGTGCATCCATCATTCCTCCTAGCATCCAATAAACTAGCAGAAAACTAAAACCTCTAGTTATACGGCGTGTACAAAGAAAAGAACGGACATGGGTGTGCGTAAACCAGAAAAGTAATGTAACTCAGGAATAGCACTAATAAAAAAATCAAAATTACATGGTTAAAGAAAAAAGAAGTGAGATCTTCAAAGAAGCAACCAAACTAATAAAAAAAATTCAAAAGCAAGCGTCAACATCACAATCAGTAACCCCGTTAGAAAACTACCAACCGAGTTTTACTCTATTTTGTTTAAACCTATTCTAGGTACATTACTTTTGTCTACCCATTATCTTACAAAAATCTTCCACATTAAACTTAGCTACTCATCTTAATGGTGCATCTTCTATAATTCACTGTGCATAACCATCTAAATCTATATCCCATATCTTATATTCAATAGATGATAATCCCACCATCTATATGATAAAACCAATTCTTAATTTATACTTAAAAATTTTACCACACATTAATCTTAACATTCTCATTTGTGTCCCATTCAACATAACTATTAATGGCTTCTTTAGTGCTAAACATTCAAATGCATATTGTAGGGTCTAAGACTAAAAAGACCAAAACAGGCTCATAAATTGCTCGAAATTTGACTTGACATAACATTGATTCGACTTTTGAGCTCCACTAGAAGTCAAAATCAATTTTGGGTTTGCTCTAAATAGTTTGAATATCATTCAATTCAATTTGAAACAAGCATTTATATAAAATATTTATAACATATTATATAGTATGTATATTTATGTATATTCATAATTAAAATCAATTTTAAGTGAATCTTTTCAAGCTGAGTTTGTGACAAGTATTTATTTTAAATTTTAAGTTCGCATAAAGCCTAACTCACTCTAAATCGACTGGATAGCATCCTTCACTTGGCCAATCTAATACGGGTATTATGAACTTTCTTTTTAAGCCCCCATTATATTATCTTATCACATATTACTCATAAACTATTATCCTATTTTAAACACTCAATCTCAATTATAGAAGTTATACACTTATATATACCCAAATTACTCGGTTAAACAAACCCAAAACACACTAGATCTTCCACCAATATTGATTGATCATTATTAATATTACTCCCAATAAATATCCTTCTATATAATCAATATATAAAGATGCATACTTAACTTAAAAAAAATCTTTGATGTAACACAAATATTAGGGAAGGTGAACGAGCGTTGGAAGAATGGACCCAAAGGAAGAGGGGAGATAATTGAAATCCACTGAAAACACAAGAAGAAGAAGAATAGGAGAATAGCAAGAAATGAACCTTAAATTCAATAATCCAATTCATTAATATAGTATCAAAAGTGTCGACTTAGGGATTATAATTTAATACTTTTTTCATAATATATTAACTACTTAAAAAAACTATTCATGTTTCCTTATTATTATTATAAATTTTTTTTTAAAATATGTCAATATTAAATGGATGTATTCCTATAAACTAATATGGAAGAGAATTCTAACAGCCATATTTGTCCTACATTTATATGAGTCTAAGGAAGTTTATATCTGAAAAGTTGGAAGTATCCTGATTGTGGAGAGGTCGAACTAATTTATTCAGAGCTTTACAATCAGCAAGAGAATATGCAAGTACCTCAAGGCAAATATCTAGATATTTAAGTGACGATTGCGCCAAAGCATTCATCTTATCTATGAAAGTAGAAAAATCAATTTTGCTATGGAAGATGTTGGTTGCACAAACTCAATGGAAAGCTAAGTAGTAGGGATAAGGACCGAAGAATAAGAATAGGTGCAAGCAAATAGGAACAATCCTTGTTTTGGAATGAAGGATGTAATATCGGGATGCATCACATGTGGTGGAAGAGAAAACACGCTAGAAATCAGGACTGCTAAAGAAGATGAAAGTAGAGTTGGAAGTTGCGGGTCCTCCTTTAGAAACATTTAAAGCAGCTCAAAACTACAATAACCTCTCTATAGACTCAAATTTACTCGGAGATATATTATCAATCATTATAGAAGATTTGGTCAAACAATAGAAATCATAACTATTGGATCAATTTCAAATTTATCTGCAACATCTTTCTCATTTATTTCTTCAATAATTTCCAAATATAAACAAGCAAAAGCTTCTTTATGATTTAGAATGTTGATGTGCTTCTTTGAAATATTATCACCAACTGAGATTGAGATACTTGCATGTGTTGTTGAAATTGTTGATGACAATATTAAACATGTTTAAGTGAATCATAAAATTGTTCAATTTCGGTGAAAATTGATTTATCATGAAACTTATAAGTATATTGGGATGGATAATTAGCAATATATAAATAATATTCATGAATTTGATATGAATATTGATGTTGATGAGATCAAGTGTGTGAACTCTACTGTGAAGATTTCACATGCTTGTGGTTCTAATATTCATCATAACCATATTGTTAATGCCAATGATGATAAGTCTTTTGGTATTGTTTGGCACACTCATCAAAAATATAACTAGCCATAAATTCAAAACATCCAAAGAAAGAAATTGATCAGTGATGTAGTAGCTCCATGAAAACTAGAAAGGCTCCGAAAAATGTTTATTGATTGGGGAAAATATTCAAGATAAAGCAAAACGAAATAATTAGTGAAAGTAAGGATTGATTGGCTCTGACACCAAATGATGTAACGTTAGCAAGCGTGAAGTTGAGAGCGGGACAAAGAGAAGGGACTTGAGAGAAGAAGATGAGATATAACTGAAATGCAAAAAAAATTAGAACAACAACAAGAAGAAGAATATAAGAATAACAATAATTTTTGGAATGAACAAATGCTTTCTTCTTGAAACCATTTACCAACTTAGTTTTCAATACTTGGAAAACTTTAAGCAAAATATTGTGATTTATCAAAGCCTAATTGCCTAAATCACTATCACTCTCCAATTCAGAATGATAATAAGTAACATGGGATGCCACAACTAGGAGTAAAAAAAAAGTAATAACATTTGGAGTAGAGGTAACACCCGCACTAGGTTGGCAATTAAGTTTCCCATACTTAGTTCTTTAAGATGTAGCTAGCCTAACATCTGTAAGTGAAAGAAAGATATTGAGATTCATCAAACCACCAGCTTAAAGCAACAAAAAGAACTAGAGCTTAAGTATAATCCAAGGGAGGCAAGATGGTGAGAACATCATCAACAAAGTTTGTATGGTGATTTTGATCATTTGTATTTACCAAAGAAAAATCTTGCGATCCCACATCATGACAAACATTCATTTGTATTTACCATAGATTAGCATTTTCTTGAGCATTGGGTACTCCATAGGATACTTTCTTAATTCGAGATGAGCCTTGAAGAAATTAGAATATTCATGGCAAACATTCTCACAAGACTAGAAATTAGGAGTGAAAACCCTAAAATTCACTTTTTCTACCAGTTAAAAGAGAATTAGGTGTGAATCCAAATCTCCCTTTCAAAAGGAGCAAGAACATTACTTTCAATAAGAACTCTAGCCATAGACAACCTGGAGAGCCTGGAGATAGTAGCATCTACTTTAATGGTATGCCAAAAATAGAACCAAATGAGTATATTGTTGATTGGTTAATGAAGTGAATACGAAGACAAGGGAGAATTACCCATACTAAGGGTAACATTACATTCTTAAGCAGTATCAAAATATGGAGAGTACTACGCCATGTGCATTGAAAGACCATTCACATAATATATCCTAAGAAAAACAGTTTAGAATAAAACGATTCCATTAATTAGTGCATGAAGAGGGTCAAAAATCCCAACAAAAAAATTACCAATCAAATATAAATCATACATAAAACCATGAATAATTTCAAAATCAGAGAGACCAAAGGCAAATTTACCAACTAAAGTGAAAGAAAATAGTGTTTCCAAATCATTAAACTTAGCCTCAAAAAATTAAATGACAGTAGATTTATTGTGCAAGGTAGATGGTGACTTCTGTTTAGACCTCACTAAGAGAATAGTAGAAAGCTGTCAAAATAATATGGTTGCAAAAAATCATTAACACTAACAGCTTCTAGGAAAGAGTGTGAACAGAGCATGAGGAACGACATTGACATAAATAAGAATAGTTTTGATTCTATTGTAACAAAAGATTTCCCTTTGATGTGTAAAAGACCCGTATTAATAATTATGATATTACATATGGATAATTCCTCAATATCTTGTTCATTCACAACAAAATATTTTTTGTGCCATTAAAAAAATATATCCTCTTTGGAGAAAGACATTTCACCAATCGAGTCATAGGTATCTAACATATTGCTCGTCTCTTAACCTTAGTTCTACTCAAGTTTGCTTCAGCTATTTTAAGAGTTTGTTGAGCTTCTTGTGGATCAATGTTAGTACTAAGTTCCGCATAATTTCTTAAAATGGAGATCGCATTATTACTTATTCTAGCGAAACCTCACCATTAACCATCAGTCGTTTGGTCATATTGCCTGTGTAGCCCTAATGATAGTTTCTATAGGGATTGGACAATCATATTTAGTCAAATACCTAGCGACAAACTCCTATATTCCTTTCATTACGGTGTTCTTGATGACAAACCTAAAGTTTATCTTATTGATGATATTCATATAAGTGGAGTCTTTGATTTGACTGGAACATGGGAATCATAGACAGCAAGGATGGGCTAATGGAATCACCATTCACTACATGAATAGTAGAAGATAACATCGAGGACAAAGGTGCGAATAACTTCACGGGAGAGATCAACTTGATGACGAACGCAGCACAGGGAAAGGGCAGAAAAGATTTTCAAGTACAAAAAAAAAAATATGTATAAAGAAAGAACAATGAAAGAGAGGCGCAAGAAGAGATGCAGCACGAGACAGATACTCGATGCCAGTGCATTCTACGTTGGTGCCAGAATGCACCGGTGTCGGGTGCGGGGAAAAATGAGAAACATTAGGCAACAATTGTCGTGGCACCCAAATGACAGTTTTTTCTTTGATGCCAGTTCTCATTAAAGATGCTTCCATGTTTACTTAGTGTTGCATAAAATTGCAAGAACGTTTTCGTTAGGCTTATGAGATTCTCACTATAAGATGTATTTAAAGTTGAAAGAATAATAACGGGATTGCAAGAACTCCACCAAACCCTATCCAACGGAAAAGTCGTGTTCAAGGACATCCCGATAACTCGAATCCCAGGGATGACACAGAGATGAGGGGCTAACGAAAAGATTAGCCCCATCTGTCACGATACTTACGCATTGTTTAATACTTTCAATCAAACAAAATGGCATCCCCTCAATATCTCCGATCACAAACACACGTGCGCGATCTCCAATTACAAAAATGAATCAACAAAACAACTCCCAAAGCGAGCAATAGAGAAGAGATGGAAAGAGTAGAATAAAGGAGATGGAGAGAACGTGTTGCCTGATCGCAGAGAAGACGACTGGATGCAGCTGGAAGTGCACCGCCAGTGGGAGCAAACAGGCAAAGAAGAGGGGAAACGGAGGCGGGGAGAGGGAGCAGATAGACGATTTCCTGTTGTATAAATGGACAGGGAACGAGGGATCTGAGACTGCGGGCTTCGCGGGGAGCACGGCCAGGAGCGTGATGCGGGACGATGTACGGCAATCAACGGAACCGCGCCGCACCGCGCCAGACTGTTGAAGTCCACCTTACGGAGCGAGATTATTAGGTCCTTAAAACATAAGTAGATTTGCTTTTTGGAAGCGCGGGGTACACAACTCCCCTTGGCCTATTGGTTGAGAGCTTTGATTTCCAACTAAGAGGTTTAAGGTTCGAGTTCATGTGTATGCGTTGTGTGTGTGAGTTTGCTTTAAATGGCCTAAATGTCCCTAAAAAAAAAAGCGCGGGGTGGGAGGTTGGGGGAAGTATAGGCTTAGCCCAGTTTTTTGTTAACTAAAAAAGGTTACAGCCGGTAAAAAGAGGAATACAGCTCAAAAATAACAAATTAAAATGACTGCACCCCAAAAAGCATGCTCTAGCAAGGAAAAGTTATTTTGTCCGAATTCTCGCTCCCAATAAAAATGTGTCACGTCCGGTACCGAGTTTATACCGAGCCGTACTCAGTACTCGGTACTCGGTACCTCTCAGTGCCTGAATGTGAACCAGCGATTCTCCCGTCCGGTGTTCGGACAGAATAATTTATCTCTATGAAGAGCAAAAAAAACAAAACATAACGAGTAAAATTAACGGGTAAAAATTATTCTGTGTAGATTCTTGAAGTAAAGAATCGTCCGTATTGTTGAGTATTTGTTATTTATTTATTGTGTATTTTAAAATACACAATAAATAAGTAACAAATACGCAGCAAATCAGCAAAATGCAGTAAATACTCATTAAATACGTAATAAAAACATATCAAGTACTCACCAAATACTCACAACTAAGAATTTGTTGAGTATTTACTGCATATCTACAAATACGCAGTAAACAACAAATACTTAGCAATTCGAACGATTCTCTACATCCAGAGTCCACACAAAATAATTTCCCAAAAAAAAGGCACTAGCATTTGACTCGAAACGAGCAATTTGACGTGGGAGACGCACAAAACTCAATCATACCCTGGTTGTCGAAATTATCATACAAAAAAAAACCCTAGCTACTGTAAAGGCTGTTTTCCTCCCAGGATCGTCCGGGACGAAGTGGATCGTCCCGGGACGATCTGTGCAGATTGTGAAAAAATCTGCATGTTCGTCTGTACTAACCTGGAACAATCGGGACGAACCGTCGGGACGAACTGAACCCGAGAGTTTCGTCTCGGGACGACGAAATTGGCAATTAATTTCGTCTAGACGATCTGGTCCAGAGGAGATCGTCCAGGGACGATCGGGAACATCGTCCGGGACGATCGGGAACATCGTCCGGGACGATCCTGCTTAATAAATATCCGATTTAAGTCGTTTTGAAGAGAGAGAAAGTCCATGAGAGAGAAAACCGAAGAGAAAAGAAGAAAAGTGGATTTTAGGGCGACTTCCATCCGTTTTCGTCCGTCGCCGTAGTTGGAGAAGTTGACTGACTCGAGGTAAGGCACATTCTGCCTTTCTCAATTTTCAGAAACGAGAATTTTGACGACTTTTCTGTTCCGGATTTTATTTCCGTTAGCGAATTTCTGATATTATTTTCTTCTGACAAAAGTTTTACCACGTAACTTTTAGTATGTTTCTGAGATGATAATTGTGCACGTTTTGAGTATTTTCTGGAAGATTTTTATCGGATATTTTGGATTCTGCGGCGTTTTAATTGAATTGCAAATTATCGGGATGTTGGAAAATGTTACTTCAGTACAGTAAAAGTCTTATAATGTTGTTGTGGATATTCTGTGATAATTTGGTAAATTCTTGAATCTGTGAATTTTGTGTAAATTCTGTTACTGCCGTTATGCCGCTGATTTTTCGTACGAATTCTGATTTTTCTGAATTGATACATTGAATGAATTGAAGTGTTTGTATGCTATCATAAGGGAGTTATAATGGGCCAGGATCCTTTGAAATTCTGCAAGTGTCATGAAAATCTGATATGAGCTCTAAAATCTGAAAATAAGTTGTTCCGGAATTTCGAATATTTGTTCTGTTCTGGTGCTATAAGCACAAAGGAAGACATAAGGAGCCATAATCCGTCGAGATTCTGTAAGTGTCAGGGAAGGGAGACATAAGGGGCCAGAATCCGTCGAGATTCTGTAAGTGTCAGGGAAGGGAGGCATAAAGAGCCAGAATCCGTAGAGATTCTGTAAGGGTCTGGGAATATGAAATTTGATATGTGATATGTTATCTGAAATCTGATGTTTGATATCTGATAATCTATGCTGTGACTTATATGATCTGTTTTATGAATTATATGATTAGAATTATCTGATATGAATGTGATTTTATCTGATTTCTGGTTTCTGTATGATTCTGGTTATTCCGTACGATTCTGTCTGCTCTATGACTTGAAAGCTTTATGATATCTGTTCTGAACTCCGATTCAACATGACTTCAGTTTTCTGTATCAGTTGTTTGATTTCTGTTGATCAAGTATCTGTTCTATGATTTTCGTACGGCTACTTTCTGATGTGAATTTCTGATGATTTAGATTGGTGAGTGATGTCATGCTGAGCTGTGTTAGCTCATCCTTGTTTTCTACGTGGTTTTTAGGTTCTGGAAAAGAAAAGGAGGTCTTGGACTAGAAGTTCTGTGTCTGCTCTGAGATTAGGTATTTTGTACTTTTGATTTTGTATAGTCATGACTTTTATGTTCTGTTCTTTCTATCTATAGCCATGCAATGTATCTGTATATAATTGTTTTGATGAAAGAAAAGATAGATGAACTGTTCTGTATTTGGATGTTTACAGTAGCTCTGTGTTTTTCTGTCTATTTAATATTTGGAAGAAAGTCTGAAGCAAATTCCAAAGCTAGATCCTGGATTTTCAATGATTGTGTCGCGGCCCGATGCAAGCGGGATCCGTCCCGGTCGGGTTGGGTCGTGACAGCTACCATGATGTCCATCTAGGAAAAACAACTGACAAAAGTTTTACCAAACAGATATAAAGTATTCTTAATTGTCCAAGCACTTGTATGTAATTAAACTCCCAAGTAATCGAGCAAGTGCATATGCCTTGAAATTTTGGGCAAAGCAGGGAGACAAAAAGCAAATATCCATAATTGAATTTCAAAACAATCCAACCACAATGGAGAAAATAAAGAAGTAGCACTTAAAGAATCTAATGTAAGGTATCTTAATGATTTTTCTAAGTGGCAGTTTTTGCTTTAATAGCTTTTCTAATGTTAAGAACTATAGAAGTATTGCTATGATAATGAAAATAAAAAAGTATGTAGTTCCTTTCCCTCCCGATATGATATAGTGAACAACATTTAGGTAAATAAAAAAACTTTTTTGTGAGCGGCACTAAAATGTGAGGAGATAAAGATGTAGGTTTCGTTTTGAACGGTTTTCTTATTGCTTCTTAAAGCTGCTATTTAGTACATAAATTAAAAATTTTGTATTAAAAAGTTGTTTTAAGAAGCAATAAAAAAGTCGTCCCAAAAGAAACCCTAGTCAAAAGTTTGCATCAGATTTGACCTAAGTAGAAAGCAATTCACCAAACTAAATAAAGAGCAAATGATATTATACGAGACATCACCTTCAAAAAATAGGTGAGAAACTATTAGCATTAGATAAGAAAAGCATTTAAGTCCTCTTTTAGATAAAGTATATGCTGTTTTAAGACCACCAACTAAAAAGAGCCAGTATATGTTGAATATATGAGGGCAAAATTTATGAACCAAACAAAAGAATACCAAATAGGATGTTGCAAGCCTTCATAAGCATCATCTGTAGGAGCTTTGAATAGGAATAAGGGAAAGAGAGGAAGCATCCAAAATGTCATAAAGTGAACTACTAGAACATCATGGATCCTGGATGAGAGAAGCACTTCAATGAGAATGAATGTTAAAGTGAAACTCCTTTTGGTAATCACAACAACCATACAAATCAATTTCTAGTGAGCAATGAGTTTCCTAGAGAGAATTTGCCATTGGGAATGATATTTCATTATATACCAAGAAGCCAGTAAACCATTCAAATTATAAATCCTGCCTATAAGAGAGCAACAAAAGGCATGATATAAGTAGTTGATACAGGGAATGCCCAATTCTCCAATTTTTTTAAAAAGACAAGTTTTCTTCCAAGAAATTATGTGAATCTTCTTCGAGTTCATGTCCCCATATACAAACTTTGCACATAGGTTATCAATAAAATTTTTGCAAGACTTAGGTAAAATAGCTCATTGATGTGAAACATAATTGCATGAATGAATTGCTTAAGAAAATTTGCACGCTTAATTTTAGAAGCCACAATAATTATATCTTTTATATTTGATTTTAAACGACAAAATAAAACACACAGAGCGGTAAGAAAAGCTTAGGCTAAATCACATACAAAGGAGTTAAGATCGTAAAACATTCAATTTAATCTAACGATGCGTACATGATTGGTTTTCAACGATGGATCCCTAAACTAACAGTGAGATTAGTCTCTACAAGAAGATCCTTCACACAACTCTTCTAATTATTAGGCTTTAGCGGAGAAGCCTTAATGTGATCGTCATGAATCTACTAGACCACAATTGAGAAGCAATTCAAAGATAAAAAAGTCGGGGGAGGAGTTTACCCAAAACCAAGAGAGATGCGCGATCCGGGTACGTCGTTGGAAGGTTGAAATGAAAGGGGACAGCAGTTCGGCTGGAAAGACAGCATAAGAGGTTCAGGATCCTTTGGACAACAGTCTTGGCACTTTGGAAAACTCTGAACTTTAAGGCCAGCAAAATAGCAATACAAGATTGCTACTATGGCTGGACAGTAGCGTTGACACTTGGAAATTTCTTGACAGCTACCTCGGATGCTTGGGAAAACCTTGGACAGCAGCTATAAGGTGTTGGGAGTATTCTGGACAGCAAACTGCAGTCTTCAAAACGTGCAAGGCAGCAAAGAAAACACTTTGTTGAAATGTGGGCAGCAAACAAGAGCTTCGCGGGAAGAGGAGGGAGGCGTGAATGAGAACTTTGAAGGAGGTTTGAAAGGATTCCAAAAGAAGAAGCGGGGAGCTTTCTCGGGCAAGAAGAAGAGCCTTTGCAGGTCTCGGCCAGCTCCAGGTTTGCTCTTCAAAAATCTTCCCAAAGGTGAGTACTGTCCTGTGGACAGATTTTGGGAAAATTCAATAAGGGGTGGCGGGAAGCTGGGAGGAAATTAGGGAGTATTTACTAATTCCAATTATCATATTTTGGAAACTTAATTAAAGGTTTTGGCTTTAAGAGTTTCGGCTGGCATGAGGAGGATTTATTTCTAAGCACAGAAAGTGGGAATTAAAGTGGCATTAATGGGGAGGAACCTTAGGTGGCCGGCGGCAATGAGGAGGAGGGAAAGGGGTTAGGGGGGAGATTCAATGCTTTCCAAATAAGCGAGATCAAGTAAGAGGGAAACTAATAGCTCCACTCCCAATGAAATTTGAATTGGATTCAAATTTAAAATCTTTCATTATTCGGAATTTTGCAAATATGGAAAGTTTTTTAATTTTAAATTTTGAAATTAAAAAATCGGTAACTCCTTTGTTTATTGCTAGACCATAATCAAGGAGTCATTATGATGATTGACATCTTCATCATGGCTTGGGGCAAGGTGGTGGCCGACGGCCAAAGGAGGAAGAGGGGGCTTGCCGTCGGGTTTGGGGGTTTCTTGATGGAGCTTGAGTTGTAGTGGAGGAAGCTAGTGGATAAAGCGGTGGATGATTGGATCTCAGGTAGGGCTTGGCGTGGGGAGGAGGAAAACAAGAGTTGGAGAAGAAAACAATAAGATAAAATAAACCACGAGTCGAGGGCGCTTCCAACGACTGGCGGGGATTGCTTTTGCCCTTACCTTGGGCTTTCCATAGAACTCACACAGAGATCTAGGAGAGTTGAACTCACCAAGAGATCAAGAAAATATGAACTCACAAAGAGAACACAAAGAGAAGAATTTCATTTTCAATAATCATCATCCTCAATTACAAGAAAGTAGCCTATAAAAAGGCCACATGAAGAGAAAAGAAATAAAAGACTAAAATGTCCTTCGGGTTACAACACTACATGATCACCCATAAGGGTAAAAAGGAAAAACAACAAAATAAAATAAAACACATAAATAAATAAACTCAAGATCGTAGTTGTTGATCTCCGATGTCCTCATCACTCATCTAATCTAGTAAGCGATAAAATTGCATATAGTAAACATTAGATATTGAAGTCTCCAAGCAAAAGATAAAAGTTTGGCTTTCCAACCTTCAAGCAAAGAGGGGATTTTTTGGATGAAAGTCAGAAATATGCAAACATTTAACAAAAATATGAAGGACTGATAATGTAATGACACCACCAGCCAAAGGGATATTAAGAATATCAGCCACCACCTCTAAGTTTTGAAAATGAGGAGCAAATAGAATAGAGCTTTTCTCCCTATTCACTTTCAATTTAGTGAAGTTATAGAACTTATCTAGAATAGAATTTAGAATGTTCGTATTTATAGTAGAAGTTTTACCTAAGACTAACACATCATCAGCATATAATAAAAGAGAAATAATCTGACCACCAACTGAAATCCCTTGGAAGCATTGAGCAGGGAAATTTTCCTCTAAAAGATTAGAGAAGGCATCCATGAAAAAGCAAAATAGATAGAGAGATAAGGGGAATCCTTGCTTAAGACCTGGTGAGGAGTTGAAGAAAACCTTGGAGGCTACCATTGAGGCAAATAGACAAATGCATATCATCAATACAAACTCTAATCCAATACATGAATATAATAGGAATACCTTTTTGTTCAAGTCTTTTAAGAATAAAATCCTTAGACATAATGTCAAAAGCTTTAAATATATCAAGTTTGGCACAAATAGCCTTTTTAGCCTTAGGAGGCTTGAATTCACTAAGGATATCAACAGCTAATATGATCTTATAAGTGGAAATTCTTTTTTTGATAAACCCATCTTGACTAGGAGTGAAAACGAAGGGTCATTAGGGGATTTAGTCTATTAGCCAGAATTCTAACAATGATTTTATAAAAGAAATTGTAAAAAGAAAATAGATATTTAGTCAGAAACAAAGTTTGCAAGACTTGTTTTGGGGATCAGAACCAAGGCAGATGCATTAACCATCCTAGGAAGATAGCATTGTTAGAAGAAGTTAGAGTTGCAAGCAAACTAAACGTTCGATGAGCTACTCATTGCTCGGTTGTGTTTGACCTTATTTCGTCCATCGTATTTCTAATCCTACTCAATCTGGGTCTACAAGCATGTCTCCTAAATGGTGGGGGTAAAAGGGGACCAAGTTTCCTTCTCCGAGAACATGAAAGAGGCCAGCATAACATCACTAGTAGTATTGTAGGAGAAAGTATTGCAAGATGAGCGAGTTGTGATCCCACCGTCTTGTTGCAAATCAGGAATCAAGATTGAGATTGTGATTTTTTGTTGATAACAAAATATAAGTATTCTAATTTTATTATTTCTCCTAGCATATATTAGATATTTTTGTTTGTTTATGTGTATACTAACATTTCTAGGAAATCATATACTACTCCAGATTGATGAAGACTTTAAGACAATATAGAATCAGATTTCATGTAATAGAGTTTGTATATCTCTATTTTTATTTCTTGAGTCTGAGCAAGTGTAATTGTAATTGAGTAACCGTACTCGCACACAGGGGGAGAGTGATAAATTTTTATTAGGACTAATCGTACTATACGATATCTAAACGTACTATACAATTTGACATATTTTTTCCTCCAGAATATAGTTAATCAAATTATGGCTTGAATTTTTATTTAACTATTCGTACTGTACGATATTAAGTCATACATATCAAGATGAGCTTGTGTTCCTCATAGGATTCACTTATGGCCAAACATCCTTAGGTTTTTAGGGCGGCTTAAATAACTACGGTCCCAAGGGGCTAGGGCCGAACCAGGTTGTGCGAAGGTGACCAAATAATGAGCCGGAGCCTAGGGATTCCGGTGAAGCTTCTCCACGAGGCAGCGGGCCACATCGTGACGGTGGAGCTGAAGAGCGGTGAGCTCTATCGAGGCAGCATGATCGAATGCGAGGATAATTGGAACTGCCAGCTTGAGAACATCACGTACACCGCCAAGGTTTTGTTCCTTCTTCACCCATCTCTAATTCTTCTTCGAGCTCTGGCATCGGATGCGGGGCGGGGGTGGGGTTTCTATTTTGTCCTTCCTCCCCCCCACCGAATTTGTTATTCTCTGTTTGATTAATAGGTTTCGTGGTTTCTACTGGGCGATGCTGCAAATTTGGTGTAAGAAGTAATCTTGACGAGTTTCGACCGCTTATCGTTAGATTTAGGAGGGCTACAACGTTTGAGTAAACGTAAAAAATTCTCTCAATCTTTATTCTGTGATACTTTCGGTGCGTTTTACTTGAACATAATTTTTGGAGAACGATAGTTTTGTAGGAACGTAAGTAGAAAGTTTCCATATTTTTGATAGTTGCTACATGTTTTCATACACTTCCCTTACATAGCTCCATAGATTGTCGTTCAGTAAGATTTTAGGAGTTTTGAGACATTTGTCTTCCCATCAGTGGAGTTGGTTTTGTTGATACAAAAATCTTTTGTCCTTCTCGGAGCTTTTTACTGCTTATCCAGCGGTTGCTGTTGTGAAATTATACTTCGTTTGTAGATATTCGTTAGTTTCTTCTTTGCTCTAATCATGCTTCAAGGTTGTTTTTGTATCAAATGTTATTTAATGTAAGAAGCTTTATCAATCTATTATGCTCGCCCTTTCATCTAGATAAAAGATTGGCATTCCTCCATTGTAGTTAACTGATCAAGCTTGATTTCCTATGTCATCTCAAAATTTTAACAATTAAAACATGGTCAGGAAAATGACTAGTTTGTGTGATTTTACCTTTCTCATCCTTTGCACTATCTATTAGGACTAATGTCTTTCTTTTAAATCTATGTCAGCATCTCGTATAAGATGTCCCTGCCTCTTATGGATGCTCATGTTTTGAATATTAAATTGTTTACTGATTCGCAGGATGGCAAAGTATCACAACTTGAGCATGTTTTCATTAGGGGGAGCAAAGTAAGGTCAGTTTTCTTGTCAATTTTTGTGACATTTTTTTTTCTTAAGATTGAAGAATTTGTGAACTGTTACAGATTTATGGTCATACCTGACATGCTAAAAAATGCTCCAATGTTCAAACGTTTGGATGCAAGAATCAGGGTATGCAATAAATTCTTGTTTCCTTAGCTCTAGTCATTTTACACATGTTATTGTTAAGTTAGAGTAAGTTTCACGTAGCTCTAATAATATATATATATATATATATATATATATATATATATGTTATCGTTAAGCTAGAGGAAGTCTCATTGATTCTATTTATTTGATGAAGGGCAAAGGTTCGGCTCTTGGTGTTGGTCGTGGTCGTGCTGTGGCTATGCGTGCAAGAGTAAGTTTGGTTTAAAAAGATTGAATTACTGGAGAACTGAAGGAATTGAGTTTTTCCAATCATTGACTTGTTATTGAAACTATTTGCATGAATTTAGTTTTTCGAAATATTTATCGTGATCTTATTTTTGTGAAAAAGGAGAAGGTTGTTCTAATGTTGCATTCATAGTCGAAAAGTTTGCATGTTTTCTATTATTCAAATATGGGACATGCTAAGCTTAAATCAGAGTGAGGGATTTATAGAATTTTGTTAATTAGTTTGCCTAATTACTCCTACATATGTTTTGCATTTTTTACCACTCTAAGAAACTAAGGATTTATAGATTTTTGTTAACCATTTGCCTAAGTACTCCTAAACATGCTTTTTATTTTTTCCAATCAAAATTAAGATTGCATTTACTCAGGATATTTGTTTATTTTGGAAGAAAAATCTTGAGAATTAGTGGACATGATTTCATTTTTTCATGAAGAAGAATAAATAAAACAATAATAAATTAAGTGAAAAGTAAAAATACAAAATGGCATGGGAAAATGTTAAGCTTTTTTGTGGAAGGAATAATCATAGGATGGTTAGGGAATAATTGATCAAGAAATAAAATGTCATATGTAAAGGGAGGTGATCATGATTAGTAGTTGACTGATTAAATCATTTGTCAACTACAATCAATATAGCTAACGATTATGTTTGCATTGGATTGGAGTAAGCCCTACAAAATTAATATTGGGATATAGGTAGATGTGGGTGGACTACTCAATTGATAATTATTAGTAGTATATTAAACAAATATGTAAGCACTATTTGAATATGTTATGAAGAATTCATGTAAAGTCCTTGATATAATTCTAATTAGTAAGTCTTTTGTTAAAACCTTAAAATAAGTGAAAAGTGAAAACAATTGATAAAGCATTCATTAAATAAGGGGCTTAGGATTAATAAAATAGAGATTTGAGTATGTGATATATAATTTTGCTGGGCTTGAATTTGATAATTATGAGTCAATGCTTCTTGGAGATCAAGTGGTACCCAGCATAGAAGAACGGGGATGTTGATGAGGTTTTAACTCCTAGATTTGCATTTGGTGGTGAGAAGTGACGTTGGTGTGTTATGTGATGAAAGTATCATGGAAATTTAGGGCTATTTGGGGTAGCTTTTTCATGACTATACTTTTCAAAATGTAGTAATAATTTCATTTGGTTACTATTTTCATTGGCTTTCTAAAAATTTCTATGGCGGGAAATTTTTTTATAACCATATATGGTAGTGTAGTAGTAGTTATAAAGCTGTTATCAACATATATATATGATACCCACAATAGCTTTCAATTTTTTTTTCACAATAATTATGCAATCACTTTTATTAAAAATTACAACTGCTCCAAGCAAAACCTTAAAGATAAAATTATAATTACATACTGTCAAATGATTTTTTAGACAATCCCATGCAAAATTACCTAATGTCTTGCATTGAAAGTGCTTTCATGTCTCCAAGTACCATTTATTGCTATGTCATCTCGCACACTTGGGCTACATATGCCAAAATTAGGACTTGGATTGCACTAACTTTTGCTTTTCTCTATTTGTGTTGTTCTCTCCACTAACATCTCATAGCTTGTCAATCGTATTGGTATTAACAAACGCCGAGTGGATTCTCTCCAGTTTTTTTAAAAGATGACGTTAGCGAAACACATCATGCCATTGTTGTGAACTTGACTTTGTACTCTGTTATCATCATGTCACATTAAATTAGTCAATTGAACTCAATTTGCATCGAGTGCTGCATCATTAAACATGCACTTCATGTTAAAAACTTCCAAAAATTCTTCCCAAGAAATAAATGATGTTTGGATGATCCCTAAGTATATGCCTTTCTTGCGCCAATGCTTGATATCTCATGTTAGAATGTAGGCTGCCAATGCAATCTTTTATTTGACTCGGCAGTCCATCCCTTCCAATGCCTTCTCAATATGTATAAGCCAAACTATAGCCTCTAAAGGGTTACCTTTTCCTATGAATTATGCTAGCCTCAGCATCAAAAGATGCTCCTAGTCTTTCATCTTAAACATGACTAATGATATTTTGTGCCTAGAGTGCATAAACAAAGGAAAAGACCTATGCTATAAGTATGAGTTTGCTTTTGGTTTGTTTGAATGGATTGGTTGACAATTTCTTAAATCAATTAGTTTAAAATCTAATATTCAGAAATCAAACAAAAAAATTATTTGTACGACCAAAACAGGATATAGTTTGGTTGATTTGTTTTGATTTTGATTTAATTGAGTTTAGATTAATAATCATACTTTTTTCTTTTATTAGAATTTACAAGATTATACATGGACACAAATAACTACACTAAATGGACACAAATAATTTTCATCATAAAACCAGTTCTTAAGCAGTAAAAACAGTTAACTCAACCTACATACCTTATAAATTCAGAATGAGCTAAAAGGATAATAATTTATCATCTAACATATAAAAAAAAAAAAAATTAAAAAAATCTAACACTAAAAACTGTCGATCATTCATTATTACTAAACATCCTTGGATTGTTTGCTTCTACTTGTCCTACTTATTATTTTATAGAAGATAAAAACCAAATCAACACTGAAAGCAAATCAAAATGGCAAAAAGCAAGTCCATTGATCTCTTGTAATCTACAGAGTTGCAAGATTCCGCAAGCCATAATTATGATCATCAACGGAGCTTCCTCATTAATTTTTCATAATCTCCTTGCCTCACCTTCTGCGCCAGGTCTCTCAAATTTCTTTCCTTTTTTGTGTCAAAGCAACATTGCTACCATGGCACCTATGGTCCATCCACGGGGAAACATAGCCGATTCCCCATTTCCATTGGCTTATTTTAAATTCTAGCCCCTTGCGCGTTATGGTTAGGCCTAGTGATCTGTGATGATTTAAAAAACAAACAAGATTGAAGCAAAGTTCAATAAAATAATAATAATAAAAAAAAAAAGAACAAGACATGGTTGCAAAAGTTCTACACCATAGAAGCAAGATTCAAGTTAAAGTATGATTCATTGGCTCTCTTGGCCCACAAAACAAGCAATCGCATAATTTAATCGGAGCTGCTCCCACCTCATCCACTCCTTCGCCCATTGCCGATTCGCTAGCTAGAGATATAATAATATTCAAATGAATATGCCTAGAACATTAAAGGCAGTTTGAACAAGGTAAGCTCTATATCCAAGTATAACTGACTACACAATGACAAGACATAAGGTCATCCCAATCATTTCACTCAACCATATCTTACTCTTTTAACAGTCTAATGTAGCATTGTTGAAGGTTTCAATACTTCCCAATTCTGTCATCAATGTTGTAAGGAACTGCTTGGCTTCTGGTGCTCAGCCTTTACCTCTACATAAGCTCATGCATTTTCTCACGTATTTTACATGTTTCTTTAAACGTTTAAGTTGGATCATTGTTGAAGTTTGATGTTTTTTCCCTTTGAAGAACTGAATTGATCTTCTTATGGTTTTGGCTTTATCTAGGCTCAAGCGGCTGGCCGAGGCGCCCCTGGTCGAGGTGCTGCGCCTCCAGTAAGAAGGTAAATATTTCTAGCAGGAGAATGAAAAGTTTGTTCATCAGATTTTGACTGTTGCCCAACGAGCATTTCTGTACTGATTAAGTTAAACTAAATATCAACGAAGTTATGATTTTATTCGTGCTGAAGACCGATATCAATGAAGGATTTGTTTGAATTGATGTAAGAAAGTGGGAAGTGTAGTAGACTGTAGAGTGTTGAAAGCTTTTGCCTTATGTTGACAATAGTAAGTTAAAAAAATGATTTCACCAAAGTGGTAAAAACTAATAAATAAGATCATCATTGATTGTTGATCTTATATGCTCCATAAATTCTTTAGAAAATAATAATAACGATCAGATTTGTGAATTTGTATTGAATGATGAGTATAATTTGTTATATAATAAAATAAAAAAATTCAAGTTTTCCCACGTATGTACTAATAATAAAACAAAATATATCTGCTTATTAATTTTAAAAAAATAATTTATACGTTTTTTTTTTTTTTGTAAACCCAATTCGCTGCTTGCTGTCATCAGTTGCAAAATATCATAATGATAATGCAAGTTCCTAAAATAAAGTTTGATGCGCCCTATACTTCCTCCTTCGCTATCCTTTTCTCTACCTCAGATTCGGCAATCTGTTATGGCTCCAATGCACAAACTACTCAAAAAAATATGCCTGAGAAAAGAAAATGGTGGAGCTCAAGCAACTTCGGCCTCGATGAAGGAGAAATTATTGAGTTCGGAAATCGGATGTGATGAGCAGAATTTTTTAAGTTGAATAATTTTCTTCTCTCAAGACAAGATCTTTTTTTCTTGGCTCAAAGGTTGCATAGTTCTCCATACATATGCAGGCGTCAATATTAGTTGCTGGTGGTGAAACAAATTGCATTAAGTAGCATGTCTTGCATGTCTATTTTTGTGTTCTTACAAATTTTGAAGCCTTGTATGCTTATACCAAGTGATCAAATCTAAAGCAATCAAGTCAAATACTAATTGCAAGATAAATGTCAGACTTTACATGACAAAATTAAGGTATAACAAAAAGACAGCCCTTACTCATCTATCCTTTATAGTGCACCCTCAGCTGTTCAAAATAATCCTTCGTGGCATCTTGGAGTGGAAGAACATTAACATATTAAGAGAGTACATATAAATAACGAAAAAAGAAAGTGTATGAACGATATAGGCATTCTAGATTAAAAGTGTACCCAGTGTTTAGGTTTTACAAATATTAAGGTGGTTTTCAAAACCTTCAGGTAGCAATGAATACAATCTAAAAATTAAATGAAATTTGTACTAAAACTAGAATTTAGTCTGACCATGCTTCATAGTTGTAGAAGGATCATCATCTTCTAGATTTCCAACTATCTTCGCTGGATTTCCTTCTACCATGCTTTATAGAGAAAAAAAAAATCAACACTTCATAAGAAGGGATGGTGCATATATTATAGTTTGCTAAAATGTTACAAAATGGAAATTAGGTAAACAGGTAGATAATAAGTTTGCTCATTCACTAACGATGAAAGGCTTACAACGAGATAAATATACACGTAAGCTGTGTATTTTGGCTGTAATAACATTCCAGTGGATGTGTTACACCAATGAAAAATGCAGTTTAGAGTGGAAGTCTAACTTTTTGGTACATGATAGAGGACGTTAAACAAGATAAAGAACCTATGCATTTTACAGGAAAAGGGGCTGAAGCTATTATTGCAGATATAAACCTTGGATTGAAACATGAAATAAAGCTTGAATCTAAGCAATTAAGGGCAAATTATAAATATTTATACGATTTTCATGTATATGAGAAGTCTGAGTGGATAACACAGTTCTATTTTTTTCTCCTCCCTAAAACTTTGCTTGTGGAGGAATTTGAAAATTATTGCTCTTCTGTTTGCATGAACTCACGTTTTCTGGAAATAGAATAAATTCCCATCAAAATAAAAAGCCATGTAAATTTCATTTCAAAGCTCTCTTGTTACTAGAAGCTTTTCCATAAGCAAATGCACCCACACTTCTGTATAAGCATGCAAATGGTTTTAGATTACCAACCATATACTATCCAAAAAAACCCTTCATAGATTAGGTACTTTCCATTCATTACCTTCCAGGATCAGTAGCAATCTTATAAACCTTACTAATAGTCTAGACGAATTCTTTCATCCAAATGTGTAAAAGATCATAGTCGCAATTAAAAGCCGAGTACTCTACCGTTGAGTTAGCAACCCGGATCAATATGAGGTGCAGTGATGATCGAAATAAAAAAAAAATCCAGCAAACTCATCCATTTTACTAATTTTACTAAAGTGAAGGAAAGATCAAATAGGGTAATGGCGATAAAAAGATCTATTTATATCCTATCAAATTATATTTGTTTGAGACGCCATTGTCAATATGAATGAACTTTTTAGAAAACAAATTTCGAGAAATTATATAGAAATTTGTGTTGGATCTACTATTTAAATCAAATAAATTGAGATAACCTATACATAGTGCCACAGCTGACCATACTTGATGTTGAATGGATGAAGATGATTAAGCTTCAAATATTAGTGTAACAAAAAAAAAATGTATGTATAGTTCTGTCATCTTTTGTCAGAATTGAAAACTATCTTTTAAGTTTCTCAAATGAACAAGGAACGACTGGACTTTTCTAGCATGCTCTCAAAGATTAGATGTTAAGTCATGTGAGACTCAATGTTTAAGCTCACATATAAGATTATTGCAAAATATATTTGTTTAGAAATGCAAAGTGATTGACCTTTACTCATGTGTTAAAATTTGGGTTGAAAATAAGTTTCATCATCAATGCATTTAGCCCAACATCAATCCCATTGGGTTTACTATCTAACAAGCAGTATCAAAGTCAAAGATTTGGTAGGGATATCAAGTAATTCATTTTATTTGTGGTTCTCATAGGTTCTTAATGCCTTCAATCATGACTGAGCAAAGTTTAAGAGCCGGTGATTCGCACGATACATTCAATGCTTGAGTGGGCTCTTGGTGCATGATATTTAACAACATTGAAAAGCTTCCATTGAAGAGGGAGTGATAGCCGATGTGAAGAGCTCTCATATGAGACAAATGTTGTAAGGCACTTGAGGCTTTGAATATAGTCCCACATAAAAAAATGTTAATGCCTATATCCATAAGCTTAAACTTTTTGGTTGAAAATGAGTTTGACCACTAGTGTATATTGCCAATTCTGATCCCTCTTTGATTTATTCCCTAACAGTAAACCTGGTCCTCATGTTTTTGACCTAGGCCAAGCTTCAAGATGGCCGCCTGGTTTTAAACAATAGCAGTTGTTAATCAGCAATGGACCTGCCTAGAAACAGCCCATGTTGCCCAAAATGATCCGGCCATTAGCAGTACCATAAAAATTGCTCCTAAATCATGAGCTTTGGACAAAAATCCACAAGGCAAATCACTATTTCTAAACCACAAGTATGAAGGAAAGTTCGAAATTTGTTGCAGAATTTTTATGAGAAAAAAGTTAAGTTGGTAAGCTAAGACAATCCAAGGAAAACGACTAAACGAGGCAGTGCCAGTTATCATCAGAAAAAAATAACCCACCTTTAGCTAAACCTTTTGCAATTCAATAACAATTTAACCTATAAGAACAAGAAGTGTAGATAATTTTCAAACGTGAACATGCTGGCAATACTAGGTATTATACATTTATCACATTTTACTTCAAAAAACGGAGCACAATACCAAGTAAGCGGTTCTCAATAAAGATAAAAATAATTGGAGCTAACCTAAAAGGAGGCACATCCTTTAAAACAAGTGAGCCAGCAGCAACAATAGCTCCTTCACCAACTGTTATATTTCCAAGGATTATGGCCCCAGCTCCAATATGAGCACCTTGTCCGACTTTAGGATGTCTAGATCCAGTCTGCTTACCTGTTCCTCCTAATGTAACACCCTGTAAAAAATATCAGAAATAGAAACTGTCTTTGACAAGGACATCACACCATTAATCATGCAAATTAATCCTGATGAAGTTTTCTAAAGAAAAAAATAATAATAACATAGAAGAAAAAAACCATCATCTTTATTAGTTAACAGGCCAATCCGCTAGGTGGAAGGCTATATATATTACATCAGCTGCTGGTTTGTAAGAGAGCATGCCTTCTTCTTTCGATTAACCTACCCATCAGCATGTGAACCGAGGGACTCCCACCTGCCCAAAGTGATTATTTAACAGAATATTAGGCTTCGTTTGGAACGATTTTCTTACTGCTTCTTAAAGTAGTTTTCTTGTTCAAAATTTTTAATTTTTAAACTAGAAAACTACTTTAAGAAGCTGTAAGAAAGCCGTCCCAAACGAAGCCTTAATATCGTAAATACAGCACTTTCCTTCTGTCAAATTTTCACCCGGCATGCACCGTGAAGTTCAAGATAAAAAATGTATTGGTATTACACTTGCTACGTTTACATTCAGTTTTCAATACTGTTAGTTTCCTGCTTGACCAATCATTTGAAAAATCAGTATATGCCAATAATAAATCTTTTAACTATTCACGTAGCATCAAAGCCGGAGATAAAGCATATTATCAAATAGAGATATAATCATGATGACGAAGATGGTGGATTGGTGGTAGTGTAGTGAAGTTAATGACAATGATGAGAAATATAATAACTCCTACCCAGCCAACTTCTCCATAGAAAATGAGCTTCCAAACACAACTATGATTGTCAATTCGGCTCCCATTGCCTTCATGTTGTTTTATTTTTGAGCTAAATGAATTCCTAAGAAACTCTATTTGAGTAGAACATCTAAAACCTCAATCCAAAGTACAAATTAGTTTGAATAACCATGGCCGAATAAACTAGAATTAACACTGCTTGTGGCAGTCAACAGGAAGTTAACTAAAAGGATGATTATAAAGGGTGCCAACTAGTTGGGATAAGTCCACTGCAGACAATGATGAATCCTATAACTAAATCAAAGAATATTCCCAGTTGACGAAAAGCTTTTGTTCAGCCCATCTGAAGCCTTTAAGCCAATAAGAAGATAAAAAATAATTACCTCCCGTGGTACTCCCATTTAAGGAAGATAACTTTAAAGAAGGCATGTATGACTATATCGACAACATATTTTTGGAATGAATTGCTGTCAGCCAATATAGGTTTAGAATAATGGTAATATATGCCAGCATTCATTTGGTGATCCTAAAATACAGTACAAAGGGGGATCGGCTGGTAAAACCTTTCTATAGTGCGGCACATTGTTTTGGGAACAAAACCACAAGTCAAGTAAAATATACATAGCCAGTATATATATTAAGTTGGGGACGCTATAAGGACTATAAGAGGGGAAGGAGATACAAAGGTTCAAGGCCACGGTGGTGCGAGGTAGTCGAGGCTTGGAGTTCAATAAGGATCAATGAAGTTGTCATCGGAGATGGAGAGAATCCACTGTGAGACAGCGACAAGCATGACAGAGCCGCAGAGGTTGTTCAAGTGAGAGGGAGCTGTGAGACTTAGCATGAGCAAGAGAAAGAGAGAGACGGGAAGAAATGGAGTAGTAGTGGTTTGTGGTTTGTTGTTTAACTCATGAAAGAGGAGATGAGGTCATGGCTCTGCATAGAGAGATGATGAAGGTCATTGGCAAAATTTGAGGGGAGATGGAGACTATCGTTTGGATTTTTGTTGTGGATTGTTGTTGTTTACGAGCACTAAGTGGCATGCATGTAAGCCGGCAATCATATGGGCGCACTACATAATATGCATGCATATTATTGATCATACAAATGCATCAACTATCATATAAATTCGCAAATGCCTTGTGCAAATATATTAGATTCATGCAAGTGCATCCAGATTCATGCAGATGCATTATCTACCAGTGCATTTGTTAAGCCGGCATTGGAGCCGGTTGGACCGGTCCACCCTGGACCGGTCCAGGTCTTCACCCGACGGAACCGCGCGCAAACAGGCGGAGGAGCGCGACGTGATAGGGCGTTTTAGGAGTCTTTTTTTAGAGATATTTTGAAATATTTGGGGTAGTGAGGTCTTTTGTAAAACTCCTTTATGGTTAAATAAAGTGAGAAGCGAGGGATTAGGGTTATCTTGCATTTTGAAGTTTCTTGAAGTTCTTGTGGTTTTCTTGTTTTGGGCTCTAGACTACGGCTAGAGATTGGAGAGTTATTTCCTTCCTCTCGAATCGAAGGAAAGTTATCTTGCTTGTTTCTTGCATCATACAGGGGAATACAATCGTTTGCTAGTATTTTTCCCTACGATTTCTTCCATCGTTCCCATTTTCTACTGTTTTTGCCGTATTTACTGAGAGGACAACAATTTTATCTCTTGGATCTTTTGGGTTTTGGTGAGAAACACTTGTAAATCCAAGTGTTTCCTATCAGCATTATACAAATACAAGTATATTATGCGCATATGATAAACAATATATAAATGCAAATGCAAATATCCAAAATGCTCACATACAATATACAAATGTCATGCAAACATATCAAACCACATGCAAGTATACCATACAGACATTGAATCATATGCAAGTGCATTATATATACATACTGAAATGTATATATGTATGTCATGCAAATGCATCAAGTACCGTGCAAACATAATATGCAACACATCAATCATGCAAATGCATCATTCAAATTTATAGGTGCATTATTTAAACGCGTCATACAAATGGATTACACACATTCTACAAATACACCAATCATCATGTAGATGCATTATGCTTATCACACAAATTTACTATGGGCCATTTATACAAATGTGTCATGCCAATTCTCAGAGTGCATTATGCCCTATGATGCACGGACATGGACACGATGACACAAACACAACACAACACGGACTCAGGACAAGGTTTTTTTTTTTAAATATAGGATACGGGTGCGGCATGGACGCGGCATAATAATTTTTGTAATGTAATATATAGAAATTAAGATAATATCATATTAGAAATGACAAACAATAATAAATTAATGTCATGATAACTTGTTTAGCTTATAATATAAAATATTTAGTACAAAATATCTAGTACAGTCACAAAATATAAGCAAAACACTATTTAGTACAACATCAAACTTCAACTACTCAGTAGACGGAATGATAGGATTAGCTTCAGAGGTTTGTCTTTGACCTTCAATATCATCATCATTGAATATCATTGCTTCCAACTCTGATTCATCAAGAGAAAGATTTGCAATCTCCAATATTCTCATATCATCAAGGGACTCAAACCCATCTTCAGCAACATCTCACATTTTGTTATCATTTATCATATAAAGTGGGGTCTTTCTTGATAGAAGAGAAAGATTTGTATGAATATAAACTAAATCTTCAGCCCGTTGTGGAGTTATTTTATTCCTCTTCATCGATTGAATATTAACACAATTTGTATGCACATAGATAAAGATTTGTATGCACATTTTGTTATCATCTGGTTTCATTCTTGTTTTATTAATGCGAGCAGAGTGAACGACCGTGTGATTTGAGCAAGATATCCAGGGCAAAAAGACGAGCAGTTCGGCGTCGTTTGCAGGGGATGGCTGCCGGCTACATAGGATTTGAGCGAGCTGCGACATATGTATATTTTTCCTCTTTTTTGCTTTGAGTGGAGGTCAACAATTAGATTTAAATAAGAATTTGACTCTTAATAATACACAATGTAGAAAAATGATTAATGTAGCCAACCCCGCATGGTAGGACAAAGGCTTGATGTTGTTGTTATTGCTGTAATTAAAAAAATCAAGTGTAAAATCTGCCATTTTCTACTCTTCTCTCCACATTTTAATTTGCAAGAATAACCTTTTTAACCTACTCATTTTACCACAGATGATCTATTTTTATAGAGTACAAAAATTTATATACCAACATTTTTTAACCAAACTGACCATCTTAAACAACATGAAGTTTGATATACCCAAAACAATGAAAAAGTAATAATTTTGATAGGCATTATGTTGTTTTTCAGACAAATATTTCAGTGCACTTGTGGATAATAGACTCCAAGAATCATAAGGCATAATAAATATGACAAATCTCTGAATCAAAATAGGTGGATGCATACTTGCCTGCATTAAACAAACGTTGTTCTCCACAACAGCAGTTTCACCAATAACTAAACCAGTTCCATGATCCAAAAGAACTCCCTCTCCAATTTTTGCAGCTGTTTAATAATAAAAAACTAAGAAGTTTCCCTGACATACACAAGAAAGTAAGTTTTAGATATGAATATTATAATAACAGAATCCAAGGGGTTCCATAAGAATTACTACACCATCTCTACCCAAACACCTTGCTTTGGTTGGACTAAATGAAATAAGTTTTGGTTCTAATTTAAACAAATGAATATTGCATTCCAAACCCCTTCCTATTTTCTAATTTCTACCCATCAGCATTCTCAAGTTCTTTGTTAAAGCAGCACATCAATGAGGATAGAGTGCATGGGTAATCCAAACGCATTTCCCCCCAAAGTGAGTGAACGCAAGATGTTACAGTACAAAATTGTTCAACATACTACTGTGAAAATGAACAAACCGTAGGCTATTTAGGATGTGTACATTGACCACAAATTGCTTAATTTAGCGAAAGTTACCGCTCGTCCCTCATATCCATACAACATCATCACTTGATTATAGTTTAATAAAATTTCTGTTAAAGTTATGCTCTTCAAATGTAATACTTATTATGCACTTATGTTTTTTAACAATCCAATCATAATTATATATGTGCTCAACTATATTCTTATTCTTCTACATTAAAGATAAAAAATACTAAAAAAAATGACATCTAGGTATCACTTTACTTATAATAATAATAATAATAATTGATATTTATTAAGATCACACACAAATTACACAACATATAGCAGTAATTAATCTACTAATTCCAAGCCCTTTATATTCCAAATATTTTCTTCATTATTCTAATGTTCCACTAATTGCAAGTTAAAAAAGAGCCCTCTCTCTCCAATTTAATAACTCCTTAATAAGAAGAAACAAAGGTCTCTCAACAAAGACAAGCAAGTATGTTTCAGCTATTCCTTTTTCAATTTGGCTAATTTGGATGATGAAGCCCTACAAATCGCTTAAAAACTTGAGGATGTGATAGGTTGAATTTGGGTTAAAATTGGGTGATCAAAATTGGTTAGCTTGCAGATTAGAGATTACAACGAGCAGGCAAGTTTACATAGAAAACTAGGCAAGTGTTCAAGAGTAACTAGGCGAGTGCATAAAGGATTAGGCTTGCGTGAACTATGCAAGTAATATACAGATGTTAGGCGAGCAACTAAGCAAATAAGAATAGAAAATAATGTGAGTGTGCAAGCGAGTAGGAAAGTAAGCACATGGGTGTATACTAGTAAAAGCACATGATTGAAAAGGATAGTATACTAGCAGATGGGGCACCTAGGTGAGCAGGAAAGAGCGTGTGGGAAAGTAGGCAAGGGTACACGAGCAAGCAAAAGGATGCATGAGTGAGAAGGCGAGCACACACGGATGCATAAATTTCAAAGCTAGACATCAAATAAATAAAGACCAAAAGAATAACACCCTCAATTTTACAATGAAGCTCTCTAGACACCCTACTTGATCTATAGACCTCTTTCTATAATAAATAAACCTTGTATCCACCTTAATCCCAATTTAATTATATATATATATATCAACATATTTAGAACCAAAAATAGATAAAAGACATAAAAGCGTTACAGGCATGCTAGAAAGATAGCTAGTGAATGTTACTCTCCAAGAATTCGGACATAATACCTTGATGAAACTACCCATGATCTGAATATCAGTAACCATTAAAAACCTTTACAGAAACTTACCAACCACTGATAGTCATACAAATAATTACATTAAATTCTCAACTTTATTATCAAATAGCTACTGCTGACAAGAACATGATTCCAGCACAAAGATCAACCGGAGAACAAAGAACCATTATAGGTAACAAGTTAATTTCAATCAAATCATTATATTTGGTACCACCAAATACAAAAGATCAGTAAGAAAATAAATAGAATGTTACCTGGGTGTATGTCCACAGCCCAAACCTATAAAATGCATGTACGAGAGAATAAGAAATAGAAAAAAAGAAGAAAGTGATTATATTTCCTAAATAAGAACCATCATCGCCAGTTCTGCAAGTATATATTACCTCATTAATTCTACTTTGCAGTGTCAGTGCTAGAACTTTTTGTCCTTGATTCCATAACGCATGGGCTACACGGTATGATTCCAAAGAATGGTATCCCTGAAATAAAACTTGCAGCGATTGGGTACAAATTATGTGTTAGCCAGCTATCATATCACTTAATAGTTTTACTAGTCTGCACAAAGATACAAACTAAATAACATGCCCGGCTCAAGTAAACACCATATGCAACTGTTGGTATGTAGGATAAATGAGATAAGAGAAGGATTAACCATGGAAGGCCCAAAAAAAGCTTCACGAAACGAGAATTTATTATGTGCGGATTCTGAGTGTAGAGGATCATCCGGATGCTGCGTATGAACTGAGTATGGACCGCGTATTTATAGATATGAAGCAAATACTAAGCCAATCATTAGTTGAAAGTATTTACTGAGTATTTAATGAGTATTTTCTGCACATTTATAAATAAACAGTCCATATGTAGTCCATATTCAGTTCATACGCAGCCTCCAGACAATCCTCTACGTTCGGAATCTGCACCCACAAAACACGAAACTAAGAAAAAAACACAAACTGACAAAACTTGAGATGGTGAGGATAAACAAAGTGATAAAAAAATGCACCTTAAGGTACAATAAAGCCCAACTGTATGATGCACAGGCAGGATCTCGATCTTTGAAGGCCTGCGTACGAAATAAAACATTTCGAATGATAAAAATAATAATTCTTAAAGCCAATCTATCCTCAGCAGCGCTAATACAGAATAAGCTAGACAAAAAAATGTTGATATTATAATCAAATAACCTGAATATCTTGGCGTACTGCATGCTGAAAACCACTATCATTCATCATAGCATAGTTGAAAATGTCCATAAGTTGCGTTTCCAGCAGCGTTGAGTCATGGAGCCTATTAGCAAGTACAAAACCCAACGCTCGCTCTAAGCAGTCATGAGACAGAATACTAGCATACAGAAAGCTACTCAATATCGGTTCTTTCTCAGCCTGACAATTTCACGAGAAGATAGCAAGTAACAAAGCTGAAAATCAACGGAATCGTAAATTACAAAGTAGCATGTAAAACTTCAAAAATTATTTCAAGGAGTCACAAGACAACTTTTGTCCGTTGATGAACTTTTTTTCCCTTTTATTTTTTGAAATGTTGAGTAGAAAATTCGAAAGCACTTGGTTTGCGCTCTATAGGAGGAGAGCGAAATCTCGGCAATCAGACTGCCATTTGAAGACCATATTGATGCTTCATTCGGTAACAAGCTAACATTTAGGACAAAAATTACAATAACCCAGAATCAATGTAAACCCTCAAAAGCCTGGTTTGAAATTTACTCTTAAAGAATTTCGTTTTCTTTCTCAATCAACCATATCTAGCTTATTGAAGTCCAACCCTTTGACTTTTCTAACGTGCAGTAACTAGAGTACCCCATCGAAGAATGAGAGAGAAATAGACGAAAAAAAAAAATAAAGCAGAAGCAGCAACCTCCAACATGGCTTCCGCTGTAATGGAATCCCAAATGGGGTCTCGGCCAGGCATCACAACATCATCTGAATTCCCCAAGGAGTCGATGTTCAAAGTTGCCATTTAATATGAGAATACAAGAGCAAGAAGAGAAGAAGAGAAAGAGGAAGAACCCTAAGGCTCGATTCTGTTCCCTCGCACTTGAAACCTTGAAGAATATAAGTAACGTCTGTAAGGAATTTGGATGACCAAGAGAATCAAGATTGAATCACACGGCACAAGTACAAACTATTGCTCATCGTTCTTAAATTTCTAGGGTTTTGGGAAGGAGAAGAGTAGGATTTCAATTGACGAAAAGAACTGAAGAGCTAGAGAGATAGAGAGCTAAAGGAGATCGTCGCAGCACCAAAACGCTCGTCGTCTGGACTCTCGACAGCTGCGGAGACTCGAAGACGCAAAATTTGTGGGGGCATTGAAAAGAGACCACAATCTCCATAATTTAGCAGGATGGCCCACCAGCAGTTTCCAGCTATCATTGATAATTAAAAAAATAAATAAATAGGGAATGAAGATTTATTTGAAAAATATTACATAAACGATTTTTATTATAAAATGTTTAAATATATCAAAAATATTAAATAAATAAATATTTTTAATTAAATAATTTGTACTATGAAATACTATTTAAACTCCTTTATTATTAAATTAGATAATATCTTATATTTCATCCAAAAAATTTAAGTCATTTATTGTATATTTATGACATTAAATTTATATACATAAATTGTCAATTTTTTTTTTCGGAATATTATAAATAGGAGCATAGTGTTTAATTTAAATTAGAAATAAGATTATGTGTTTAAAATTTTTTAAAAAGAAACAAACTAATCAAACAAAATTGTGCATTATAAGCATTTAGACCATTCAGATGAATTAAATTTTAAAAATATTGTAGCAATGAGTCAAACAATTTGACGCATTTTAAATATGTCAAACAATTTGGTAAATTTGATGGAATGCGTCATTCTGTTTGGCTAATGCTTCTTTTTAAATTTTTTTAATACTATGTTCGTATTCCTAATTTAATTAAACATCATACTCCTTAATAAAATCCATTTTTTTCTCAATAAACTTTAAAACTATTATGTTGACTTTTCTTTAATATAATCTTTAGTCCATTACTTTCCAAATATTCTTTAATTAAATTCCCAAAAAAAAAAAATATTCTTTAATTACTCATAAATTTATTTTTCTTGATTATAATAAATCTAAAAAATTATTTAAAATTATTTTTATATGAATTATTTGAAAATAAATTTAAAATTTATTAAAATTATTTTAAGATTAATGCTTGAATAAATTTCAGAATATTTTTTAAATCAAACATCCATTCAAAGACAAAAAAGCAGAAGAGATTCTATTGAAATCTTATATAAATTAATGAAGCCAGTAAGATAATTGCATGATCAGCCTTCGGCCTTCTAATTTTTTTCACAAAAGGACGAGAGGAAGGAAACGAGTAAGACAAGAAAGGCACGATTGACCCAGTTGAGATCTGGCTGTTGGATGAATGAAGCCGACATTGCGGCCATGTACACTGTTGTCAGCTTTATCCAGATGTAAGAAAGATATTCACAAAGCTCGCGACTTTGTTGGGGGCAATTACCTAAATACCATAGTATTTTAAAATTTTTAGGGGGGGCAATTGCCAAAAAAACCCTTGTAATAAAGACTAAAAAATGGATGAAGAGAAATAAATTACCTAAAAACCATATAATTTAAAAAAAAAAATTTTTTTGAGGGGGGGCAATTGCCCCCCCTGACCCCAATGGGGTTCCGCCCATTTATACAAGCATGTGTGACCCAACCCGCCCCTTTTCTCCTATTTTTACAAAGATCAATAATTACTAGAGATTAATTTTTGGCTAAGCATTAAACTTATTAATATTTATAATTCTGTTGACAGGCCTGTAAACATTTTTTTTAATTGGATATTCTAATAATAGGCCATTTGATCCTTATTAAGCTGCACCATACAAAAAGAGTGATTTAAAGCTCCATTTGGGGTCACTTTTTTACTACTTAAAAATAACTTTATAGTATTAAAAAATTAATTTTATAATAAAAAATAATTTTAAAAATCAGTAATAAAGGATTCTCAAACAAAACTTAAGTCGTTGAAAACTATCCACTTATATAAATGTGAACATTTGAAGGAAAGCTTCAGAACTTGAGAGCCCTTAAGGGCTGCTTGCGAGTTGTGATCACTTAAATTTTTATTTTTTGTTATATTTTTTTAATTTATTTTTATTCATATTTAACATGAAATTAAAAAAATTATTTGGGCAACGAATGAAAAGACAGGTGATGAAGCAATGATGCTTGTTCACAAAGGAAAATTATTATGTTCGATCACCTCAGAGCGTGCCACGTCTCTTTTTTGTTGTATCCTGATGTTATGTACCATTCTATAATAGATGACATGACACGCTCTGATTTACCTCCGAACAATCCTTTGACTGCACAGAATAATTTCTACAACATTAGCAGTTGATAGCATGATGACACTGACTAGCTAACAAGGCAATTGATTATGAGTTCATATTTTGCAAATAAAAACAAATAAAATGATTGAGTATTTTAATAAATATATAGATTTATACTAAAAATCCCAAGGGTATTTAAAAATACAAATGAACATATTTAAAAATAAAACCAAAGAGAACCTTAATTTTAAATCCTTGAACCAAATCAAACCACAAATAAATCCCTAAATAACAAGGGAATTTGACTTTAAAAGGCTCATAATAGCAAAGAATTAAAAAATAAACCCCTAAATGACTTTACAACACATCTGAAATGAGAGATGCAATAATTTCTAGTTATACGAGACGCGGATTCATTAGGGGTGTCAATTCGGGCCAATGGGTCGGGTTCGAGTCAAATCCGGAACTAACCCGACACTATTCGGGTCAACCGAACCCGAACCGTTTTTAAAAACAGGTCAGGTTCTCGGACCCGAACCCAACCCGATTCGAGTCCGGGTCAACCCGACCTGACACGAATGACCCGGGGTTGACCCAAAATTGCTAGTTTTCGGGTCAAATACGAGTTTTCATGTCAATTTCGGGTTGTTGAGTCAACCCAAACCTAACCCATTTTTTAAAATGGGTTGATTTGTTGAGCCCGAACCAGACCTGTTTCAGGTTCAGGTTGACCCTAAGCCGGATTTTTCCGGGTCGAGTTCGGATCGTGTTTCGGGTCGTGTCAAAAATTGACATCCCTATGATTCATGGAGGGAAACAAAATCATGACATAGATTAATTAGGAAAAAAAGAAATATATAATTCATGATTTTATTTCTTATTTTCACTCGTGATGAATATATTATCAAAGTGTAAAATCAAGTTAAATACAACTGGGACAATTCCTCATATAAATGCGTTGATCACAAATACTCTGGACACAGCCTCTAACACTATAACAGTTCTACGTGCAAGAGGTTACAAGGTTTTATACAGAGGCCTAAGCAAATAACATTCACAAATTTTTTTCTTAAAAAAGCCAGCAATATTCTACATATGCAGAAAAAAATGGCAGAATTCCGACCTGAGAAAATCAGACTTGCTGGGTATCTTAGGGAAGCGGAAGTTTTACATCCTACAATTCGCAGCTGTAATTAAAAAAAAAAACATTAAAGCAGGTAAAACAATTAAGCTAATTTATCAAAGCAATAGTATTATATTTAGGCTTCGTTTGAGACGGTTTTCTTATTGCTTCTTAAAATAATTTTTTAATATAAAAATTAAAATTTTTTACTTAAAAATTATTTTAAGAAGCAATAAGAAAGTTGTCCCAAACGAAATCTTAGACTTCATTTGGGATAACTTTTGACCACTATTGTTGTTTTCAAAAAAAGATTTGTGCTAAAAAATTATTGTAGAAAGTAGTGAGAAAACTGTTTCAAACGAAACCTTAAAAACAAATTAAAAATAATATTTTTAAGTGAAAGGCCACATGTAAGCACTCCGCAGAGTAATGGAAAGAAATATAAATGGCAATTATAGCATTGTAGTAATTGAAGGGAAGTTATCAATGAAGTACTATTACTCACTGCAATAAACGAATTGATTGAAGTCCAATGTAACTCTTCCCTGTTTAGTTGTATCGAAGGAATTAAAAAGATTTCTGCAAAAGACGTAGCTAAATCAGAAATCAACTAATGAAATGTTAAAAGAATCTAACGAATCTAAAGGGCTGGTTGGGTTTGTTTTTATTTACTTTTTAATTTATTTGTTTTCTTAATCTTATTATCTGAAACAAAAATAGACTACTAAATACAAGAGTTCTGGTACTCTGAAGGCCCTATTTTTTGCGCGAGTGTTTGTTACGGCAGGAGGGGGGCTGGGTGGAATCAGGAGGAAAGTCAAGGGGAGGGTTCAGCCAGCCTTGCGGGGTCCAGAAAAACTGCCATGCATTATGGAAGGAGGAGAAATCAAGGAGAGCTATTTAGAAATGTTTCCTAATTATATTTATTGTGTTTAGGAAGATTTTAATTATTTAGGAAGTTTCCTAAATTATGTTTATCCTATTTAGGAAGTTTTCTAAATTATTTTTATCCTATTTAGGAAGATTCTATGTGTTATTATGTGCTAGGACTACTTATGAGAAAATTTTGTCTAGGGTTAGGGAGGAGATAATTTGTGTTTGCTGTAATTTTATTTTGGAGAGCTTCCTAGCGGCATCTAGCGTTCGTGGGAGAGCTGATTTACCTCTTGAATAATAGATCAATTGTATCTTTCTTTCTGGTTAAAGAGATAATCAAATTTCAACCCTAATCTTTGGATTCCTGCATTTTCCTTATTGCCTACTTGTTGTTTTTAATTCCAAGATGTATCAAATTAGTATCAGAACGAGGTGAGAAATGCCAGCAAAGAAGATGGAAGCATTGGAAGACGAAGTGGAGCAAATTAAATCCGGGATGGAGTTCTCAACCATCGAAGGAAGATTTTCAACTATGGAGGGAAGGTTTTCATCTATGAAAAACCGATTTGAAAGATTGTAGGAGATGATGAGAAAGCTCTTGGAGATGCAATCAAAAAATCCACCGACAATTCTGATGGCTAACCATGACAAGATTTGATAGGGATTCCCTTGGCCGAGTCGCGAAGGGAAAGGAGATTGAATAAGAGGAGTTCGATGAGGAGAGTTTCTTTAATCAAGAGCCACCTGCTGAGGCTCTGATAAGGGGCAGATCAGGGTTTTTGGATGAGGGGACAGCAAGGAGGAAATTTTTTTATGGAGGTGGTAGAGTGGTCGACCACTATGAGATGCATTTCGAACAAAGGGGAGTAGGTCATCAAAGAAGGAGAGGGTTAAGAGACACCTCCTAGGGATCTGACAAGGGGCATAATAGGGTTTCATATGAGAGGGAAGCATGAAGGGAGTGTCGTGGTGGATTTGGTGGGGTGGCCGACAACTATGGGAGGTCTTTTGGGCAAGGGAAGTGGACCAAACAAAGAGGGGGACAAGCCGAGTCATGGGGATTGAGTCATGTGAGGCAGGTGGAAAGGTGGGATTCCCACTCTCGATACATTGGGGAAATATGGAGGGATCATGACAATAGCTACACTGGAGGAGTGAGGAAGTTGAAGATGCCGGTATTCGAAGGGGAGGATGCCATGTATAACGAATGGAGAGATATTTCAAGGTGAATTAGTTGATAGAGGCTCCTCCAATTTATCAAACTTTTATTTGTCAAATATATATAAAATGCTCCTCCAATTGCACCTCATAATTCTACACCTATCATCCAACCAAAACAAAATCATATAAAGAATGCTAACCATCCCTTGATGATGATTAGATCCCTTACTACAATGGGAAATGATTGTCACTGATACAAAGAGATCCATGGATGTGATTGTCATCCCAACTCATGCATTTCTGATTATACTTTTACATTCATAAAAGATTTTCAAGTGCTTCACACTAAGCTGGGGAAATGAATACCTAAAAACAATATTAACTATGCTGAAAGGGTAAATCACCGCTTTTTTCAAAGAACACGAGGAAAACAATAATTTGTTTGTTCATATTAATCTTGAGAGATATTCATCCTCAAAATACAAGAATTTGCAAACTAAAACTTACAACCCATTCAAAACTACAAAAAAAAACTTGATCCTAATACATAACATCTTCATTTGCCATCCGAATTATTAATTGGAATAATTTTCAATTTTGAGAATGTTGTTTCATTTATAGGAGTTAACTAATCGCCAAGTGATGCAGCAAACTCTTTAGTAGGATATACTTCTAGCAAATTGCAAGTACCCTCACTATCAAACCTTTTTAAAGTGGACTCTATTATTACAGAAGAGATGTTATAAATCAAGCTGAGGATCACATATATTTGATCAAATGGGTGAACAAGTCAACCACTGAGGACACATGGGTAATAAAAAAAGATTTATAGAAACAGGCACTAGGATTTGTTAAAGAATATTTGGATTTCAACTCTACAGAACAAAATTCTAAAAGGCTCAGGGTAGTTGATGCTAACCATAAAGTTATGCACTATTATAATAGTGCCGACTAATAGAGCAAGATCAAGGGCCAAGAGATATTTATCTAAAACAAAAAATTGAAGTCCATACTTAGAAAGTTTGAAATTATATGCATGACTTAAATTTAAAATTCAAAGATTAAATTTTAATATTTGAATTTTAAATTTGAAGTCTTTTTCTCCTTGTGAAGGGCTTTTATTTTATTATTTTTCTCGCATTTTATTTGCTTATGCTACAAATTTCAAGGTTGGGGGAGACCGCTCCCTAATTGGGGTAATAATTATAAAGGGCCCGTTCTACTCCCTCTTAAAAAATTTCCACTTTTTTTTTTTATTTTAGGATTAGATATATAAGTTTAAATATTTATTTAGAGCTTCAGATATTGATAAAAAATATAGAGGATAGAGTTTCTAGGACTTTGTGCTTGAGGGCAAAAATTTTCCTTGGTTCTGTGTTTGATGGCCAACCTCTATGTCTCTTCTTAGTAGAAGACCTAAGCATCCTCCTTATTTCTTGCTAATCTCTTTCCACCTCTCCTACTCCTTCCCTGACATCCTAGCTTCTTTCTACAAGTTTTTCTAGCTCCTATAACAATAAAATAAATCCATAAGATTCATGCAGGTAGTTGAATAAAATTAGGGCACCCTTAATGTAATTTGGCCCTCCCCCTTCCACCACTCTCCAATCTCCTAGGAAGACAACCAAAAACTCCATACAAGCATTCCCCTAACCCTTCCAAATTGTCTCCATTCCCCAAAAATACCATTAAAACCATCCCCCAATCACATACCTCAAGATCAGCCAAAATCAGCCCAATTTCAACTTGACCTAAACTTGGTGTAACCTCCATCAAACACCCTTAAACCTATTGGATTCCTTCCAAAAGCTACATATTACATCCTAATCTGTCCCAATAACTTCCAAGAAGATCCATACCATAAAGTCCCATCCATGATATGAAATCCTGAAGGATAATCTTAAAGCAGGTTTGACCTAAGCTCTTGGCCAACCCTCTTTCCTTGACCTGCACTTCAAATAAACTTTCTCCAACCATTCAAGGGTGTTCCCCACATCCACAGCCACCCAACATAGCAATTGGAAGCTTTGAATCTACCCTTTAAAGGCTAGGTCAGAATGCTACATCACAAGTCATATGTGAAACCATCGTAACACAAGGCTTAAGCATCATCAAGTCTTCAGATGGGGAACAACACTACAAAAACCATCGTAGGGGGTGCATCCCACACGATCGTCATAGAGGTAATGGTAGGATAGCAAAAGATACGAGAAAAGTATTATCTAGTCTTCAGTTGATAGAGATACATTCATCGTCATCGAGTGGTGCGTGTCCATAACCACTATTCGAGGGGTAGGTTGTTGTAAACTAGAGACGAATAATGTTTGATCTACAAATACAGACAAGTGACGCACATCCGGTCATCATAAATGACAAGTTCAATGTCGCTTTTGTAGCGATAGGACTGTAGACATGAGAGTAGTACCATTCCATCTCCAGGAGTCTATGGACAACATTTAAAATTATCGTAAATGACAAGTCCAACATTGCTAAAATGATAAGAGAGTTGTAAATGAGAGAAAAGCACTGTCCAGTCTTATGGTGTAGGTAGGAAACATGCTTGTAGTCATTGTAGAATATGGCTCCGATGTCGTTGTTGTGCCGATTAAAAAACCATAGATGGGAGAAGAATGCCATTTAGTATTTAGGCTACAACGGGTAATGCTCTTGCCTTTATCACAGATAGTTGGTTCAATGCCAATATTGCAACAGTAAAATAGCAAAATGATGAGAGAGGAATTCCACTCGGGATGAGGAATGCTCAAGAGCTATTTCTTCGTAGAGTAAAAGTTATCAAATGAGTTATAATGCGAGTTTATTTCTAATTTTCATAAGGGTCATTATGGTCCTTATTCAAAATATTGCTCCTTGTTATTAATAATATAGATGGTGGAGATCACACCCTTTTATAATTAAAATGAAACCAAAAGATGCGGTTTTGGTCTAACATGGCATTCCACCTAAATTAGAGTTGATTCGAGCGGTCAACAATGGTCTGGTGGATGTGATTTGTCGATTGCCTATTGGCAATGTTTCTTATCAATATCTAAATATACAACATTGTAAATCCCCACGCCAGAACCACATCCATGGCGATAGATTGAAGCTTTGATGTTAGATCAATGAAATTGTCTCAATCCGACTCGGAGACTCAAATTAACAAGACTGTCAGACGATGATTTAAATTTTTATTTGCAAAATCTATCTCCAATACATTGATAAAGTCACTAAAACTTTAAAAAAATATAAACTAATGTAAAATGAATTAGATACCTTTCATTCGGTGCGTCACGTCTACGATACACATTTTCACATCTTCTATTTATTTTGATTATATTAAATTATATCTGAAAATTTTAGAGAAACTAAAAATAAGCTACAACTCAGTGAGTAAAATATGTTTCTAAATTATAGTAACCTAAAATAATTGGAACAATATGCATAAGCATTTCAATTTATATCATCAGTAATTCTATTTAAATTCATTTCATTTCAAGACTTTCAATATTATGCATATACAATATCTTTATTTATATATTTCT